ATCACAGGGCGTGGTCTATCAGTGTTACGTTGTCCTATTCTATGTGCCCTCTCAATGTTTCTTGGAACAAGCAGATCTATGTTATTGGCTTCCCTGGCATTGTTCAACACTTCCAAAGTTTTGTTTTTGCAGATTGCATAGGATTCGCTCGGTCCCTCTGGAACACCATACAAAATGATATTATTTCTTCGACCCCTTCTCTCTAGATTCTCTAGACGTGTATCAACATTGTCAAAGTCATAATATACATCGTCTAGTTTTTGACAGACCGCATCCACATCAAGCCGAATGATATCTTGTTCTCCCTTGTTCGTACTCACTTGATTTCGTAAATCTGTGACGTCACACCGTAATGTTTGTAGTTCTTCTTTCACTGAACCAATGTCCTTTAATAGTTTGTCTACGGATGCCTTGATTTGTTGAATAATTGCCGATTTCATATCATCCAGATCCTTACTAAATGGGCCAGGGTTCGATTCAACATCACCTGACAGGTGTATTAGCAATGATACACAAGGACAAAACAGTCGCACCCCACCTCGGTCCGGAATTCGATATGTAAACAAAGACAATGTGTTACAATCAGTGGGACAAAAGTTCGCATCCATCATACTGAGTGGTGGATTGGTCAGTATATCACATGTATACTTCATCTTATCTGCGATGATCGTACCTGAGGTATATATTGAGAGAAGAAGTACTGTGCACAAGAGTAGTCGATAGGCCATGTCAGTCCCGGCTGTCCATTCCGATGTCGTCGAATAGGGTCTGATTTTCTCTATCTCCCTGTGTCCTCGGGGCGGTACAAAACATCCGATCCTGGCTCTCCAGACATCTATAGAGACTCCCATTTTGTCCCAAAGTGCTTAATTAGATTGGCCTAGGCTCCGATGTCAATATTTTTCAATTTTTTTACGAGAGACAAAGCGGAATGAAACCACTCCCCAAGGGAGCTAACTATGTAATCACTTCATATATATCTGGCATTATTTATGGCCTGGTGACCGCATATGTGGCCTAGTATATACGTGTAGCGGCAATAAAATTTCCGAGTCCCGTGATGGGATTCGAACCACGGACCTTCTGATCAGAGGTCGGACGCCTTGTCCACATGACCAAAGAGGTTAACCCCGTCAGCAAGCTGACAAGGTAAGGGTGTCATCTGTGGGATAACTCCACGCCCTGCTACATACTCCCCCGTCAACAGAAGGCACGTCCCGGGCCGCATAGTAGGGTAATGAGGCTTATTTTGCTCAAATTTAATATGAACGTGCTCAGCCCCACGTTGGGCGCCAATGTAGCGGCCATAACATTTCCGAGTCCCGTGATGGGATTCGAACCACGGACCTTCTGATCAGAGGTCGGACGCCTTGTCCACATGACCAAAGAGGTTAACCGCGTCAGGAAACTGACAAGGTAAGGATGTCATCTGTGGGATAACTCCACGCCCTGCTACATACGGAGAGTAGAAGATCGGACGTCTGACCCCATGGTTGCATCGTAGTAAACGATGCGAAACGATGGTACTTGTTGTTACCCTGCATTACTCTCGACATTCAAGGGTTAACCAAGGACCGGTCTGCTCCGAGTCAGTATACTTATAGTACAGTTGATTTTGTACGTAGGAGCAGTCTATGTCGTTGGTGGCATTTACATAGTCGTATATTCATTACTACCTGTCATTCGACCGCTGTATAGTCTGGAAGGTAATTTAAGGTACCGACGTTTACTACAATATCTGAAAAACTATTGGACCTACTCCAGTCAAAGTTGGTATGAGATTATTAAACAGTCATACATAACTGGATATTACATTTAAAGACAATCGGTGCATGAATAAAAAATCCGTCTATTTAGCTATCACTATATTTCATCAACAACCACACCACGGGTGGAACGAGCATTCATTGAAACAGCCATCTGCATAATGCTACCCCTGCGTCACAGGGCCATATGACACAGTTGAACCAATCAACTCAACTCGAAAGGGTGCACGGGAATCACGCACGTTGAGACGCCCCACGCTAACACCGTATTCGTACGTGCGTGATTCCCGTGCCTTAACCTTAAATTACCTTCCAGACTTTTTATAGTAATAACTAGAAAAAATAACGAAAAATGTGTGTTCTGAATCATGAACCTAAAACATATCCTGTCTCTAAAACAATTCTAAGGCCCCCAGCACATTATTAGTGGGTCCCTTAGCAACAAGAGGATCAGCCGGCCCTGAGTGACATCTTTGGTGTGTCAGCTCTTGGGCTTTATCACAGTGTTAGGCTTCTAGTGATGGTCAGTGACCGCCTCCGTGGTCTAGTGGTAGGGCGTCCTCCGGGAGAGCGGAAGGTCCGGGTTCGTTCCCCAGCCGCGTCATACCAAAAGACGTTAAAAGATGGTACTTATTGTGACCCGGTCTGGCGCTCGGCATTAAGGGGCTAAACCAAGGACCGGTCGGCTCGGAGTCAGTATACTGTGTCCGAGTGAGATATCCACGTTAAACTGCGGCATGGTATCTCAGCAAGAACTGCATTCCAACTAGGATCTAACTATGATGTAGCAACCTTGCACGAGCTCGTTACTGTATGTTAGTCATGCTGAGAACTATTGTAGTTGTTTAGATATTAGAGTTTTTGTTTGAAGAAGCACAACCAATTATCATTAAAAAAAACTTTTCTATCCATTATAAGGTTCAAGAAATAGTCAAGAAAATCTGTTATTTCCAGTCGGCCCGTAAGTGATAAATCTATGAGTATGTCATCTCTCTTCATCTACAATACTGCAGAATTACCAAATGTAAATTAAATTATTTTGAAATAGCTTCTTGACAACTTAAAGCCTGTTATCAAAATCCATATTTTTTTATATTCCACTGATGTGCATAACGCAGAAACCGAACCGTACATTCCATTCGGGTCCACTCGGCTTACTCCGTTACTTTCATAATACCTCGGGCAGCCATGGCGGGGTGATATTAAAAACATTCTCTGTGGACAGCGCACGGACTATCACTCCGCATATAATTCATACAATACGAATTGGTGTTTTTAGAAATTAAGTTTGCAATTTTCACGGGTTCTGCGACAAAGCGTGTTTTGAATTAACTCAATCAAATTTGCTGGGACTGACAGCTTACCCGAGGGTTGTCTCCCTTTAACCAAAACAACCACTTGTGGTGAAGGTTTTGAAAAGTTCAAAAAGTTCAAAAGTCTGCCTCTAGCATCACTCATGACATGACACGGACGGATAAAACAGGACATTGTCACATAAAGGTGGCAACGTATTTATAATTACAAAAGTATTTGTATTTGTGATTAAAAAGCATACAGTTGTATTGCTTAAAAGGCAGAGGTTAGACTGGCGTATTGAATTTATGTTAAAAAACAGGGAACGTATTGCTACAACTGATTTATTAAGTGAGGTTACAGCAACGTCCACAATGCAATTAAGTCATGCATACACTGTGAACGCAATTGTCCCTAGGACAAGATATAACGTTATATGTATTTATAAAACTTGTCCTGACACCATGTGGAGCATCATCTGGAAAGATACAGGACAAGTCGAGCAACATGTGCAAAAGGTGAGTGAATTGAGTTTAACGCCGCTTTTAACATTATTCAAGTTATATCACGGCGTGTCAGCTTAATATGGGAGGAAAGCCCGAAGTGATGCAGGTCTCAGACGTTTACCACTTCGGTGAAACCCACGAGCACGGGTATGGTGCTGACAAACCTAGAAAGATAATCGGGGTGAACCGGGATTCGAACCCACACTCATAGGTTTCTGGCGTGTCCAGGGGATGCAACTCTGCACAGCGAATCGCGGCGCCTTAGACGACTGGGCCACCCGTGCCCCCAAGTGCAAAAGGACTCAGAAAGCCGTATAGAATAGCATGTGCATATGTACAGGCTTAATGTGAGGTGGGGTTTAGCGTCGCTTTGAAGATTACTGCGCGTTTATAGCGACGAGTGTGCGTGCGTGCGTGCGTGCGTGCGTGCGTGCGTGTGTGGTTGTTTCTACTAGTCCGGACTGATGCCGATTTTATAGCGTTAACCCACTGAGGTACCATACCGCAGCTTAACATGAATACAACACTCAGACACAGTATACTGACTCCGAGCTGACCAGTCCTTGTTTTAGTCGATTAATGTCGAGCGCAGGCATGGTAAAAACAGGTACCATATTTTAACGTCTTTTGGTATGACGCGGTCGGGGATTTACCCAAGACCTTCCGCTCTCTTGGCGGTCGCTCTAATTTAATAGCTGGTGTAATTGAAATGAAGTTTTCTTGCGTATTAATGCGTTGTCATTGTGTATAAATATGTAGCGTGCCATGTGTTCGAACCCTTCCCCATTGGCAATATTACCAAACAGTAAGATGTACGTACAATGTCGTGTGTAAAACTTGTTAATCAGATACATCACTCTGCAAAGACATAGCTTGTCATCGTTAGTGAGTGAGTGAGTTAAGATTTAACGTCACATCGGCAGTATTTCAGCCATATGGTGACGATTGTCATCGTTAAGGAGTGAGTGAGTGAGTATGGTTTTACGCCGCTTTTAGCAATATTCCAGCAATATCACGGCGGGGGACACCAGAAATGGGCTTCACACATTGTACCCATGTCGGGAATCGAACCCGGGTCTTCGGCGTGACGAGCGAACGCTTTAACCACTAGGCTACCCGACCGCCCCTCATCGTTAAGGAAGGTGTTGAAATATTGGTAATCATGTTAGCGTTTCATGTGAAAATGTACCTCCCGATTTGGATGTCGATAGCCACGTGTCGATAGAGATGCCATCTGTGAGTGAGGAAATGTCGTTTAAAGCCACAGTCAGCAATATTACCCTATCTCATGTAGGCTGTAAAACGGCGTTATATAACCTAATCCTGCACTTGGCATCTGCAAATTTTCAATGAACTTACAATGACATTCCAAAGGCATCATTACCGCATGTTGTCGCTAACTTGCAAATAGTCACCTCCCTTGAACGAGACAGCAGTATTTTCCGTATTTTATTAACTTCATCATTTCGGTTCTGTATTCCTTGGTTGGGGAACTAAAATTTCATAAATTTGAAGATGATAAATATTATATTGAGGGTATTTTCACTTCTCGTCCAGTCTGTTGATAGTAATACAAATCTCCAAAAGAATATCAATATGGGAAGGGAAGTAACTCTTGTCATCCTTTAAAACAATCCTAGATGCAACAATTCTTTCATTTCTTTTTAGTTCGCCCTAAGGACCATATTTCTCAGAGATCACTAGATGTAATAGGTGTGCTGGGGTATATAATCTTAAGTTATGACTTGTTTATTGTAGCTTTTAGCAGCCAGGAACATAGGACAGTGTCCCACGAAGGGCAATGTAACGATCCATTGCTACATGCTAGATATATTCCAAACCCAAGAACCCAAGACACTCCAAAGTCTCACCTCGAGGCAAGAGCGACCACTAGCCTTTTTATCAAAGACTTGTTTCCAGCATAGAAAGCTGGTGGATACACTTGTCTCGGGAAGATGCGTTCTCACTGACTACAAAGTGTTTTGCAAGCTTTCGGAGTAAAAGCCATTTGTACATTAGATTGATGGAAAAGCAACTACGGTATGAGTGTTCTTGAGTATAAATCTGCTTTTCAACAGGTTGAAGTCTTTTCGTTGGAATGTTCTGAACCAAACAACTAAGCAACTACGGTATGAGTGTTCTTGAGTATAAATCTGCTTTTCAACAGGTTGAAGTCTTTTCGTTGGAATGTTCTGAACCAATGACACTCCACTGGTCCTTCAGAAGATTCAGTTTCCTGGACTCTGCAGCCCGGAGTCTTCTCTTGTTGAGAATGTGTCTGTACAAATAGTGAATTCGTTCCGCCTCTCGCTCGGGAAAAAAGAACGCCACCATTTTGTGTCTTAGTCTCAGCCCATAAGCTTGAAGGAGGACGAAGACCAACACCAGGGAATAAAGGGAGATAATCAAGTAGAGAATCTTCCTCGGCTGCTCAGTGGGAGAAGGTAGACATCTTTTAAAGTTCAGAACATCCTCAAAGGATTTCGAAACACTGATCCCTTCAACAACAGTTCGAAAGATGTCAGCGAAAGGCCCGGACCCGCTAACATTAACCTGTAACCACACTCCACCCGTGACGAGAAAATCCACATCTCCGTTTCTCTGAAGGATTGTGAGGACATAATACAAGCCATAATCAACAAGAATCACCATAGCGGATAAAAAGATGTGCAGGATCACCTGGGTAAATCCCATCATCCATGTTAGAGATTCAGATCGGGAAAGTTTCATGGAAGTCGAATCAATGTATTTCTTCTTCTCTACATCTTTCAGTGGGAAAAGAGCTTTACTTTTGTCCTCAGCCCGAATATGCTTGTCCAGATATTTAATTTGATCTCGAAGATAGATGTTGTCAAATTTCAGGTAGCGAAGATAGCGCCTGACATAGAGGCATGCTTTGATGAAGGTCGAGAGGAGGAAGATGGCGAGGATCCGGTTGAGGATTTTGAAGATGAAGACAACAAGGTCTAGCTGTTCTTGTAGTCTCTTCTTCAGCTCCCGGACTCTTTGGATAGGGTCGCTGGAGATGTTGCCCCTGACGTCAATGACGCTTGAGCTGTTGATGCTGAAACTCAGGAGCTCGTCCATCTCGTCATACCGTTCTGTGACTGTCCTGGCACTAGACTTGATCACGGTGTCATTAGCCCACTTGCAGATACTGGATTCCTTTAGTGGGTCACAGATGGGCTTTGACTTCACAGAGTCACACAGTGAAGCGTCGCTGAAGATTCAAACAAATATTTATGTTACCAGACCATGGGACGGAAAAAGATATGCAGGTCTTGGAATAGAAGCATTTACAACTATGGAAACTTTTATACTTGAGACAAAATATATTTTCGATCTGATTGGTCCAGACTGATTTCTTTCTTGGAAAGAGTGAGTGAGTGAGTGAGTATGGTTTTACGCCGCTTTTAGCAATATTCCAGCAATATCACGGCGGGGGACACTAGAAATGGGCTTCACACATTGTACCCATGTCGGGAATCGAACCCGGGTCTTCGGCGTGACGAGCGAACTTTCTTGGAAAGAAGGATCCAAACAGTTTGTGGTTTGTTTGTTGTTTTGTTCTTTAACGCCGCACTCAGCAATATGCCACCTGTATGAGGGCGGTCTGTAAAAAAATCGAGTCTGGACCAGATAATCCTGTGACTGATATCATGAGCATCAATTTACGCAATTGGGATCGATGAAATGCATCAACCAAGTCGATCCAAATAGTAATTGGACCCACACAACATTATTTTTCACAACATTAAATATGTCTAGTGAACGAATTTTTTGTCTAGTGAACGTCGGTTCCTTATTGTCAGGCATGAAGTCTTTGTTTACCTGTAAAATCACTAATGTTTATTGACTTTGGACCTTTTTTCAGTTACACTCTGACATTAATAACGGTATATTATAGTCCAGATGTGTAACATTTATGCTCATAGGTTTTATATGTATGTACGGACATACGCGGACAGAGCGAATAAAATCAAATCACACCCTACTCCATGTATGTGAACATTTATTTAACGTGACATTAATGTATCCCAGTTGACATAAGTCACTGAAACGGACATAAAATATTCACAAAACGACAAATGTAAAATATAGAGTTTCGAAATGTTTCTTCAACATGATCTGCAAGTAAGCTGCATTGTTTATCAACTATATATCGAGTTTAACTTCGTAGACTGTGAATTAGTGTTCGTGGCTGCCATTTTTTTTCATATGAGAGAGAGAGAGAGAGAGAGAGAGAGAGAGAGACTTCCGAAGCCTAAAGCCGGTTCAGTTTGAGGAGATTTATATTTTCCTGCAAAAGTGTGTTAACTGTGCTAAACGCCACACTCACCAATATTCACGCTATGCAATATGGCGGCACAATGTAGATCATCGAACCAGTGAGTGATAATATGCGCAACGTCCCACGCCGTTGGGTACGATGACACGCCATCATCCAAGCGACAGCGTCATACCACACTCATGAATTTAGGTTGCAGGTTCCTCGGACCTATTCTAACCCGTAATAGCCAACATAACTCCTACGACTGCTGGGTTGCTGGGTGCCTATAACCCGGATTCCAAACATGCATTGTATCTTATGTCAGGGGGGCGGTCGGGTAGCCTAGTGGTTAAAAAGCGTTAGCTCGTCACGCCGAAGACCCGGGTTCGATTCCCGACATGGGTACAATGTGTGAAGCCCATTTCTGGTGTCCCCCGCCGTGATATTGCTGGAATATTGCTAAAAGTGGCATAAAACCTCACTCACTCACTCACTCACTCTTATGTCAGGAACAGGTTGTTGGGGATCTATTCTAACCCTGAATCTAAACATCGATCGCCTATTGCGAGAAATACAGGTTGTTGAGGGCCTACTCTCCAAACATGGATCCCCTTTAACGACAAGCACAGGTTGCAGGGGTGGGGGGGGGGGGGGGGGGGGGTGGTGGTGGAGGGGGGGTGGGGGGGGGGGTGGGGGGGGGTGGGGGGCTGTCTCACGGAACCACATTACCCAGCAGACAAGTTAAACTCATAATATCGTGATATCGCATCTCACCATTTTCTTCTCCCGAAGCTCAATGGCAATGGCTTGGGCTGCCCCTGGCCGTAGTTGGGGTCGTTGTAGGGCCCCGTTGGTGTGCCGCTGTTGCGTCGAGCCCGCGTTCCTGCCGAGGCCTTGCACACCTCGATGGAGTCCTGTACCGCGCTCTCACAGTCTGTGTGCATGAACTGCAGTTGACCAGCACAGCCCTGGGGACAGAGACCAATGTTGACATGGGATGTTGGGTGCACATACATGAAATCGGGTACCAAATGAAAAAATATTTTTTGTAGGGTCAGATACCACGCATGACCTATATCTTGATTCAACTATTTATATATACTCACACGCAAAAGAAACGCAAGTGGTTTTAAGCAAATAGGTAACAAACACGGAACCATAAATTGATACGAGTTTTAGCATGCAATGAAGCCTGATGGATTTATCAATATTTTTGGTTATATTTTGGAAGCCCCGAGTGAAAACGCAACATAAAAAACGAATCGCCAAAACGCACCATTTCAATGAATATGTGGGTATCATCGAACACTTGTGGGATTAGGTTCAAAGGCGTCTGTACAATGTGCGCCCAGTCCCTACAACTGCCGATGAACTACGCACAGCTGCTCTGGATGTGTGCAGGAGGATCCCTAGGCCCTTCATCAATCGTCTTATCCACTCAATGTACAGGAGATGTGTGGCAGTGATCAATGCTAATGGTGGTCACACCAGGTATTGACTGACATTTTGGGTATTAACCCGAAACTGTGTAAGCCCTTAACATTTGAAAAAAATATTATGTCATCTGCCTTTTAACCATTAAACTGTCTTCAGTAAAATTGTTGTCAATCTTGCCCTATTAGTATTTCTTGTCTTTACTGTTGAAAATAAATAACATGTATACTGCATACTCGACTTGCGTTTCTTTTGCGTGTGAGTATATATTATGGGATACAATAATACTGCACTCGGTGAGTGAACGAATGTTATTGAAGGCCGCTGACAGCTATATTCCAACTATATAACTGCGGCCTAATCCACGTGAGTGGGCGGCCTCGCCATTTGTTGAGTCGTCGTGCCAAAATCCTAGTTATTTGAAATAATTCTTGCCTTTGACGAGTTTGGATCGACTACAGTCTCTTCAATATCCTTGATTTCCGACCTGAAAGATGTCAAGGCCAATCTGACAGCGGATGTTTTCCTCTCAACCACTTCCGCCGCTTCATCTAGGCTCCTCTGTTGCTTAGCAATTGGTTCAAGTAGCTGATGATGAAGAGCTAGACTTTGATTGAGGACCACTTCCGCTATACATGCTACAGATGTTGCTGCCTGTAAATGTGAGAAATATCAATGTTTGTTTGTTATTTAACGCCGCACTCAGCAATATGAGAAATATTAAGGAAAATTCATGGACAAGAATACAAATATATACCATAAACATATTTCAAACCTACTGAAATAATGTTTGACATTTATTTGACCCCTTGATTGAAAATAGACCTCCATTCTCGTGGGAATTATGTTGGCCAAGCTGTGCTACTTGGCTGTTTGTGTGTCATCGTGCAACGACCGCATTGGGTATCATTGATCATGCCATCGACAAGTGGTTTGCCGGGTCAAGGCTTCATTTCCTCATCGCCGTGATATAGCTTGAATATTGCCGAAAGCGGTGTTAAACTTCCACCAATGGAATGCTGGGGACCAACTCCCAACAGAGTTTCAGATCCGTGTAGATCCCGATTAGAATTGATCTTCAGCAACCAATGGATCATTTGGATTATATTTAAAAGCGCACGTTGCAATTTTTGTCATTACTGTTAGTTATATTCCTGGCTTGTTTTCACTTTATAAGTATTAGCACAGTATATATCTTCATTAATTAATCGACCCGTGAAGATCCGGGTAGAATAGATCTTCGGCAACCAATGCTTACCGTAAAAGGCAACTATGCTTGTCATAAGAGGCGACTAAGGGTGTGGAGTGGTCAGGCTCGCTGACTTGGTTGATGCATGTCATCGTATCCCAATCACTAAGAGATCGATTCTCATGATGTCAATCTCTAGATTTATAGACACGATGGTTTATAGACCGCTGTCATATAGCTGTAATATTGTTGAGTGCGGCGTAAAACTACAAACACACTTTAGATCATCGAGCACAGCTCCAAAGAGAGTGAGTCAATTAGTTGGATTTTACGCCACTTTGGGCAGTATTCCATCAATATCGCAGTGGGAGTCACGAGCAATTGGCGTCACATATGGTGCCCATATGGGGAATCGGACGCTTTAACAGCTACGCAACCCAACCGCTCTTATCAACATTGAAATGACACTGGAGTGTAAAGTTATTATGGACCTCATTGAAGTTCCTGTGCATGTTCGTCACTGGTCCGGCGAGGAGAAGCCCTGGTATCAGAGAAAGGAAGGCAGTGCGACCTTGACCTGTAAACACGCTCACTGACATCAGTGCTGCCACGCAGCGGGCATGAGGGGAGATAACCAGGAAGACGCACATCACCAGAGTTATACCCCCTGATATTGCTGCACTTTCTACAAAGGAGTAGCGATAGGCAAGAGAAAGAGCTGCAAACATCACGCATCCAAGAAACAAGCCCACCAATATACCAATTACTGCTCGAGTGCACTTTTGACCATGGGTGTGGGTGTTAGGCAAGATATAGTTTTTAGAATTCGTCTTGGAGTCTTCTTTTGTGTTTTCTGGTGAAAGGACATCTGTAGGAGGCGGAGGAATGTGAAAATCGTAACTTCCTGAAGCATTTTGCTGTGTCAAGTTCACGTAGATAGTCGATACTCTACAATAAAGGAAATTATGCAATAATAATGTATGTAAAATTGAATAAACAAGAAGTACAGTTAGACAAAGACAACTGCCGGTGTCACGAAATATATTCGCCCCCAGAATAAAGTCTCCCCCCGGCGAATTTATACCGGTACAGTTCCGCCCCTCTCGAAATAAACTCTCCCCCACCCTACGAAATAAAGTCTCCCCCCAGAATATTTCCTCCCCCGGTCGTTTTATAAATACTTGCCATGCAGTTCAATTGTTGATGTTATTTTGGGTCAGGTAATGTTGTAATCTATTTTTAGCCATTGATTCCATTACTTTGCATAAGTTTGAAGTTGAGATTTTGGTCGATATGAGTTAGCTTGATTAGCTGGTTTATTAGGTTTAGGGATTGGTATGACTAGGGCCTGTTTCCAGGGAGTAGGATATAGTTTTAGGTTGTTGTTTTTAATTATTTGTTCAGAAGTTAGGTCTAATCCTGGGGCTGTGCCCTTTTTCCTGTTTTGGATTACGTAGAGGAGCTCCTCCATTTTGTAGGGTTGGTTTATTTCTAGATTGTTATTGTTTGGTTCTTTTGTGGGTTTGTTTTTTGTTTTAAGTTTATCTTGGAATTTTTGGCTGAAGTTGGTGCTACTGCTAACGGCCGAAAAGTGGTTGGCGAGATTATTTGCTTTTTGGGCGGGGTTGGTTGAGTTGTTAATGTTAGTTTTTTATGTCGTTTTAAGCCTCTAATGGCGTGGATTTTGCGCCAGACCGTTCTGGCATCTGTACGGTTATTTTTACATGCGCAGAATTTTTTCCAGTCTCTACTTTTGGCTATTTGGACTAGTTTTTGAACCTGGTGGTTTAGTTCGTGGGCTAAGTTTAGATGTGTGTAGTCACGTTTTGCTTTATTGAAGGCTGATTTACGTTTTCGTCTAGTCTGTTCTATTTCCTCATTCCACCATGGTACCGTGGGTTTGCCTGATGTTTTGAAGGGGATGGAGGTTTTGGCTGCCTTTATTATATATTAGTCTGTTAGGTTTTTACAATAGGTTTCTGGGTCATTATTTTCTATTTCGTTTCAGTTAGCTTCGTTGCAGATATCTTGATACAGGCTGGGGTGGGTTTTTTTTAAAATCTATTCTACATGCTTATCATTTCGGGAAGATGATACACATTTCTCTATATTTTGGGTTGCTTTGCTTATCTAAATTCCGATTATCATTCTTAGTTTTACTTTTTCTCTTCGGCTGCGGTGATATCCATCCGAATCCAGGACCTTTGCATAGTCCAGATTTAAAGATTATATATCTAAACGTACGCAGTCTTAAAGACAAAGTAGATTTTATCAGTGCTGAATTAGATAGTTATGATGTTGTATGTTTAACAGAAACCTGCTTGCACCATGATATTCTAGCCACTGATATTACACTGATACCATTTTCAAATCGTAGCCTGTATTAAGGAATATATTTTAGATCTTAAATCAGAGTATAACGGACAGCCTGAGCTGGAGGCGCGCGTGGATATGTTGACAGTTTTTACGTAGTTAGTGGTAAAACCGAATGTTTGCGAGGATTAATAAGATTTCTGAATTCTGTTACAACAGTAAGCGTACATGTATTTGTTACATTAAGTCATTTCATTCAAATTTGTTTGGTATGATTATGTCTTATAATTATTTTAGGATGGAAGGTACAGTTACCAAATAAAATATGCTGAAATATCAATTCATTATGACCATATTTCATAATCTATTTTTTAAAGTAACCCTCCTTACATTAAAGATAACTATTTAAAGAATATAGTACTGAAAGACATTGCAACAAACCGAATAATCAGGGGGGAGACTTTATACTGAGGGGGGCGCGAAACATATCCGCCCGGGGGAGATTTTATTTCAGAACAGATTCTCCGGGGGAAGCCGGAAGTACGTAGCTAGGTTTACAGTTATACAGTCTAAACTGAAGCCGGTAATACGTAGCTAGGTTTACAGTTATACAGTCTAAACTGAAGCCGGAAGTATGTAGCTAGGTTTACAGCTATACAGTCTAAACTGAAGCCGGAAGTATGTAGCTAGGTTTACAGTTATACAGTCTAAACTGAAGCCGGTAATACGTAGCTAGGTTTACAGTTATACAGTCTAAACTGAAGCCGGTAATACGCAGCTAGGTTTACAGTTATACAGTCTAAACTGAAGCCGGAAATACGTAGCTAGGTTTACAGTTATACAGTCTAAACTGAAGCCGGAAGAACGTAGCTAGTTTTACAGCTATACAGTCTAAACTGAAGCCGGAAATACGTACCTAGGTTTACAGTTATACAGTCTAAACTGAAGCCGGTAATACGTAGCTAGGTTTAGAGTTATACAGTCTTAACTGAAGCCGGAAGTACGTAGCTAGGTTAACAGTTATACAGTCTAAACTGAAGCCGGTAATACGTAGCTAGGTTTACAGTTATTCAGTCTAGACTTAGACCGGAAGTACGAAGCTAGGTTTACAGTTATACAGTCTAAACTGAAGCCGGGAGAACGTACCTAGGTTTACAGTTATACAGTCTAAACTGAAGCCGGAAGTACGTAGCTAGGTTTACAGTTATACAGTCTAAACTGAAGCCGGTAATACGTAGCTAGGTTTACAGTTATACAGTCTAAACTGAAGCCGGAAGAACGTACCTAGGTTTACAATTATACAGCCTAAACTGAAGCCGGTAATACGTAGCTAGTTTTACAGTTATACAGTCTAAACTGAAGCCGGTAATACGCAGCTAGGTTTACAGTTATACAGTCTAAACTGAAGCCGGAAATACGAAGCTAGGTTTACAGTTATACAGTCTAAACTGAAGCCGGAAGAACGTACCTAGGTTTACAGTTATACAGTCTAAACTGAAGCCGGTAATACGTAGCTAGGTTTACAGCTATACAGTCTAAACTGAAGCCGGAAGAACGTACCTAGGTTTACAGTTATACAGTCTAAACTGAAGCCGGAAGAACGTACCTAGGTTTACAGTTATACAGTCTAAACTGAAGCCGGTAATACGTAGCTAGGTTTACAGCTATACAGACTAAACTGAAGCCGGAAATACGTAGCTAGGTGTACAGCTATACAGTCTAAACTGAAGCCGGAAGAACGTACCTAGGTTTACAGTTATACAGTCCAGACTAAAACTGGAAACTGGCTGGAAACCGTGGATCATTGTCAGCCTTTAAAGGAAGCCATCGAGCGATACCAATATGGTGACACCTACAGTAACACGTGACCTGAATACGTCACATTGAAATTCTCTATCTGTATCCGACCCTAACTACCAGTAAGGCGTTCTGTTTCCGAAAAAAATGTTTTAAAAAGCAATATGATAAATAAGCAATATAATGTATGCCTCTTTGTTGGAATAAGCAGCGTTTGGAATAGACTCTCGATGACAACCTTTAATGCTACATCAGCCGACGCCCAAAGACATTGTATCTGCACAATCCGACAGGGAATAATCAAGGATAAAATAGGATAGGTTGTTGGAGAGGACCTCTCCACATCTACATGAATCACCTCACCTATTTCTGAATCGGTCAACTCTACTCTGGCCTCTTCCGGCGATTCCTTTCTGCAGGTAATCTTTCGGACATAGTCCAGTGTTCCCCGTGGTCTTGTTGTATCCGACCACCCAGCCGTTCCCGACGTCTTTGATGTCGGTGATCTCATCTCCGATTCCCAGTCGGAGCTCATCTTGGTTCGTGGGATTGTACTGGTGCTTCACTCGATACACGACCGCCCTTCCTGAATACAACAACAGTGCGCTTTTAGTGTTTGCCTTGTTTGTTGCACTCGGCAATATTTCAGCTATATGATATCAGTCTTCAGCTGTCAGATATGTAAATAATCAAGTTTTTGATGAGACAATCCAGTGATGGACATCATGAGCATCGATCTACGTAATTGGGATATGATGACATGAATCAACCAAATCAGCGAGCCTGACCAACCGATCCTGTTTGTCACATCTTTTGACAAGCATTGGTTGCTGCAAACCAATTTTAACCAGGATCTTTACGGGGGCAGTTGTAGTGAGTTAGTCAGTAAGTCGCATTGAACAATATTTTAGTTATATCACGGTGTGTGAGCTTGATGTGGGAGGAAAGACCGAAGTGACGCAGGTTTGATTGCAGACGTTTACCGCGTTGGGAAACCCATGAGCACGGGCATGGTGCTGACATACCTAGGAACGTAATCTGGGTGACTGTGAAATGTGAACCCACGATCATAGATTCTGAGAGTCTAAAGGGACGCAACTCTGTACAGGAAACTTTGCACCTTCGATCACACTGAGCAACCCGTAGTCATCTCAGTTTCCCCTTCAGTACTTTTGGGCATCAAAAGTTAAAATCATGTTATACGTATCCGGATATGGTTATATTTGGTTACAGCAACATGTAGATATGCCACAGCATTTCTTCTCCCGTTTGACACAGGCCTTAAAAGATATGTACATCCAAAAATGGCATGGTTCTTTGTCCAGTTCTAGAAAAGGAAATAACTACACTACATTTAAGACTACTATTATACTAGAAACTTATCTGTTAAGTGCAAATTTACATAAGTTAAGAACTGCTCTTTCTCGATTTCGTTGTGCCTCACATGATCTATTTCTTGAAAAAGGCAGATATGAAGGTATTGCAAGAGAACATAGACTTTGTAGGATTTGTAAAACTGATTGTATTGAAGATGAATATCACTTTTAATGTGTATGTCCAGTGTATAAAGATTTATAAGCAAAATATCTAAATAACTATTTCTACTGCAGCCCAAACGGTAACACATTTTGTAAAGTAATGACTTGTGATTGGACAGAAACTATTAGAAATTTATCCATGTTCATTTATCATGCTATGAAACTAAGAAAATGTATGAATTTGTAACACGCCCCACACAATGTACTGCAGGCCTTTGTCCCCATAAGAGGGGCGGTCGGGTAGCCTAGTGGTTAAAGCGTTCGCTCGTCACGCTGAAGACCCGGGTTCGATTCCCGACATGGGTACAATGTGTGAAGCCCATTTTCTGGTGTCCCCCGCCGTGATATTGCTGGAATATTGCTAAAAGCGGCGTAAAACCATACTCACTCACTCACGGTACTCATAAGTACCATGAATAAAGATTGATTGAATGAGTACTACAGTAAATAATTATATATTTTCAGCAAAAGCAATGAATGGACATACGAAACAACCACATGAGTGTCTTTTTACATTGATGGAAGCGAGGACATACTTGGTTAAGACCACATTAATTAATAATACCGTATTTGAGTTAATGATAGAATGAGTGAGTGAGTATGGTTTTACGCCGCTTTTAGCAATATTCCAGCAACATCACGGCGGGGACGCCAGAAATAGGCTTCACGCATTATACCCTTGTCGGGAATCGAACTCGGGTCTTCGGTGTCACAAGCGAACGCTTTAACCACTAGGCTACCCGGCCGTCCCGTAAACAATAGAAAAAAACACATGTCGCGATAGTGTAATATATATGTGCAAATGCACAGTAACATGACTCCTGAAATCGTATACTTGTATATGCCATCTTTCGCTGTTCGTACACATCTGGACACAGCTACAGTGTTTTGACGAAATCAAACCTTCAGAATTTGTTCGAACCGTCAAAAATAAATTTGTCATCTTTCCTGGGAACTCATCATAACGACTGCATTTGCAAAACATACTCATTATGTAAACATCAGATAGTATAAATTTTAGATATAATTCGTTTAAAAACATACTGAAACTGGTTAATATTTTGGCTTATCCTTATTTTGTTATCTATTTAAATATATGTAAATATCTACGATTTGGTACCTTCAGTTTTGCGACTAAATCTTCTCAGCCCGTTCATGGTGTCTCCTCTGCTGCCCTCGTTGGAGTGAGACTGGATACATGCGGTTGTCTTGTCTTACAGTGACAAGCTTTCCTTCCCCCGAGAGGATGCGCTGAGTTGATAACAACAGGGTCAATTGTGCTATACTGCTGACGCTTTGTCGGTGGGAAATGCGACATATCCATTTGCAGTGTTAGCAATAATTATTAAAATCTTTGAGCATTGTTCACTACAGTCCGCTTGACTCCAAATGAGAACGATGAATTGCAAAAAAAATCGAAATCCAGAAAAGTGTATGAAACATCAATACGGTACTTGACCATGAATACCCTGTACCCAACAAAATCTGAATTTGGTTATTTTAAGACCCATGACGGATGAAGTTCTTGAAGAAACTATCATGTACTTTTGTATAGAAATGTGTACATGACACGTAGGGGGACAAACCGTGGAAGCAACAGCGCAAGCACGGTCTGCACGTGCTACACAGTGACCGTGTTCATTCAATGACAAGATGCGCTACTCAGCAGATGTTAAACAGTTGATGTTGAATGTGTATGATTTCTTTAGAAGTGAAGCAGAAAGAGCAAAGCCTTTTTATGCAATTAATAAATGGTCAAGTACCGTATTGATGTTTCATACACTTTTCTGGATTTCGAGTTATTTTGCAATTCATCGTTCTCATTTGGAGTCAAACGGACTGTACATGCGACGCCCTGTTATTTATGCAGCATCAGTGATTGTGTTTAGTGAGTGAGTGGGTGTGTATGTACTGTACGCCGCAATATATATATATATATATGTGTGCGTGTGTGTGTGTGTGTGTGTGTGTGTGTGTGTGTGTGTGTGTGTGTGTGTGTGTGTGTGTGATGGTGGTCTATCAAAAATATTATCTGGACCAGACAATCCAGTGACTGACACGCGCATCATGTGCAACCACCCGATCCCGTTTGTCGCCTCTTACGGCAAGCATGGGCTGCTGAAGACCTATTCTACCCCGGATCTTCACGGGTCGGTACATCAAATAGCTTGAATATTGCGGCGTAAAACCCTAAACGAACAAAAGCATATTGTACCTATGTCGGGAATCGAACCCGGGTATTTGGTGTACACAAACTATCGCTTTAACCACTGGGCTAGCGCATCGACCCACGAACAAAGACAAACGAATTTTGATACTTTTATTTGTAGGAGATCCAGAAACAGCCAGACCCGTGTTCACAACATTACGAAAATGAAATATTATATGAAAATACATGAAAACATTTGTACATTGTCACACACATATCACATGAAGAAGTTTAAATGAAGTAGTCACGGTTTTCACGTTACATCGAGTGAGTACGGCTTACTGCCGCTTAGAACCGGATTTAGGTTGCATCACGTCGTCATCGTAATGTGGGGAGAAAGTGACGAACGTTTGGTTTCAAACAAAAGCATCCGTTCGGTGCTGCCAACCACTGATGATAATCTGTGCGAATATAGGATTGATTCAACGACCAGCCGATGCTGGCACCACCAAATGGCGCAACTCTGCACACTAGCTACATCGCCTCGATTATTTACAGACCGCCGAAAACTGCTGAGTGCGGCGTTACACAACAAACGATAAATCAATATTTCTATGAAAGAAGGTACTAAAAACACACAAAAATATTGAACAACATACAACTTAACATCATCAGTGTCGAGCTTACAACACAACAAATTGAGGCCAAAATTGTATATATATTAAATATAAACAGTAAAACGCCGTACATCATGGTACCAAAATGGTTAAGCTATTAAATCACTTCCGACTTAACCAATGACGCCATTCCTTGAGACTGGTTGTATTTCTCTCTGCCGATCTCATTTTTCTTTTCAGCAAGATATGGCGGCACAGAAAACTGACCCTTTCCATCTCACGTTCGGGAAAGAAGAAGGCGGCGATCTTGCGTCTCAGTCGAAGCCCATAGGACTGCAGCAGAACGAACAGGATGACCAGGGTGTAGAGTGTTAATATCATATACAGATTGCTCCTTGGAGCCTGTGAAGCTTCTGGCAGGCATTGTTCAAAGCTGAAAGTATTATTGAAAGTGTTTGAGGTGCTCAAGCTCTCTAGTATGGTCTTAAAGAAGACCGCAATAGGCTGCGAGCCCTCCACTTCAACCGCTAATGTTGCACCGCCAGAATAGGCAATATCAACACCACCGTTCTCCTTCACAAGTATTAGGATGTAGAAGATTCCGTAATCCAGAAGGATGATGATGGTGGCAATGATGATGTGAAGAACAACTTGAGACATGCCAACCTTCCACGCGAAAGATTCAGAGTCGACCAATCTCGGTGACGTTGAATTAATATACTTCCTCTTCTCCCGTTTCAGAAGAGGAAGGGCAGCATTCTCTTTGCCCGTTGCTCTCAGCTGCTTATCAAGGCTCTTGAGCTCGGAGGTGATATAAATGTTATCAAACTTAATCTTCCGGAGGAATCGTCTCAGGTACATCCCCGCACTGATAAAGGCAAGAAGGACAAAGATGATGAGGAGTTTGTTGATGATGCCGAATACGTGCACCACCTGGTCCATCTTCCTCTGCACTTCCTTCTTGATGTCTTCAATCTTTTGGACCAAGCTGAAGGAAGTGTTTCCTCTGACGTCTACGAGCTTGGTACTATTCAGTCTGACATTAAACATGTCAGAAAAGCCTTTAAACCTGTTCCTAATTGGTGAGATGCTTCTTCTGGGTCGGCTTGATGGGTAGCAGAGTTCCTCTATTCCTGTCAGAGATGCGCAGAGTGTGTTGGTCTTTAATGTTCCCGTCTCCACTTCTTTGCTGCCAACATAGAAGGATGGATTGAGTGTTTTGTTTCATAGGCATTACTTAGAAGTTGACGGATGACAAAGTAGACACAGTTAATGGATAACAACTACTTTAATACTGTATAGGCGACGTTTCGGTATCTATGCAGCATTAAAGAAGTTGTTATCCAGAAACTGTGTTTACTTTGGATTGAGAGTTGCTTTGGCTGAATACTTAATACAAACTAATTCTATTGTCACTAAGTTTTATTTTGTTTGTTTGTTTGTTTGTTTATTGTTAAAGGCCGCATTTAGCAAAATTCCAGCTATATGACGGCAGCCTATAAATAATCGAATCTGGACCACACAGTCCAATGATCGATATTGTGAGCAAAGACACACGACGTCGGGATACGAAGACACGATATTAACTGAGTCACCGAGCCTGGCCACCCGATCAGTTTGGTGGCTTCTTACGACCAGCATACGTTGCAGAACAATTCTAACCCGGAATCCCCGCGGGAGGCGTGGACTATTATTCTAAGACATACATTCAACTGCCTTTCTACTGCATTTCAATGAGTAATTGCGTCTAAATAAATCCAAAGATAATATTTACAGTATACAACTAATTCACTGTACCATTTCTTTCCTGGAAATTTGTGACATGGTAATTTGATGGCTGTTATATTTGGCTCTTTCTGCATCTTCGTCAGATTGGTGCATCTTTCTTTCATCTGTTCGATGCGGCTAAGGCACTCCTGCAAGAGAGACAAGTTGCTTTATGTGTCATGTCAGCGGGCTTTAAAATAAATTAGACTATCGATGATATAGACGTCAATAGAATTACTATGACTTTTGATGACTAACTCATAGCATTTAGCTGAATACATGCACTTATCTTGTACAAAGAAAAGAATGTGTAAAATGTGAGCATTAATAGTGTAAATTAATTCAAATTTAATTAAATGGACAAGGGACATGGAAGGTCATTTGGACCTAGGCACTTCAGTTCGCTTTGCATCGTTGCGTTCTTGAGCTTTAGTGGTTGGTTGGTTGTTTAACGCCACACTCAGCAATATTCCAGCTATATGACGGCGGCCTGTAAATAATCGAGTCTGGACCAGACAATCCAGTTATTGATATCATGGGCATCAATTCACGTAATTGGGATCGATGGCATGCATCAACCAAGTCACCGAGCCAGACCACCCGATCCCGTTAGTCGCCTCTTACGACAAGCATAGTCACCTTTTACGGTAAGCATGGGTTGCTGAAGACCTATGCTACCCTGGATCTTCACGGGTCTTGCGCTTTAGTGAGGATCGGCTCACAGATGGTTCGAATCCTATATCGTCATGAATATGAATTTTGAATATTATTCTGTCCTCACATACACGTGTTCTTGAGCTCCATCAAAGTGGTAAACGTCAAATATCACTAAGGAATGTCCCTCTTCGTTAAACAAATACTCTTGATTCAAAAAGAAAAGGTCTTAGCCGCCAAAACGCATTCACTCACGCAACTAGATAATATTACACTTACGACAACACTTTCGTTGCTGTGCGTGGGTGTGCTTTGGCCATCCGTAGTATTCAGATCTGGACCAGTCGAGGTGAAGGTCAGGTTCTCGGCTTCTTTGACGGCATTCTCCAAGTTTTCCCGTTGCAAAGTTACGGAGTCTAGGATTTGGTTATGGAGAGCTAGTGTTTGGTTCATAACAACCTCTGCTACACAGCCAATAGATGCTGAACCCTGAAGAAAATACCATCATGTTATAGTAGTAATAGAGCAATATATCCAACAAGCTTGCCGTAAAAGGCGAATATGCTTGTCGTCAAAGGCAAGAAACGGAATCGGGTGGTCAGGCTCGTTGACTTGGTTGATGCATGTCATCGTATCCCAATTGTGTAGATCGATGCTCATGATATCATTCACTGAATTGTCTGGCCCAGATTAGATTATTTACAGACCGCCGTCAAATAACTGGAATATTGCTGAGTGCGGCGTTAAACAAAAAACAAACAAACAAACAAAACCTAGTATATTTACCTCATTGATGTTTCTCTGCATGTTCATTATTGGTCCTGTAAGAAGAAGGCCTGGGATGAGAGTTAAGATGGCCGCTCGTCCTTGACTTGTGAAGACGCTTACTGACATCAGTGCTGCCACACAGCGGACGTAAGGGGAGAAAATCAGGAACATGCCCATGAGAAGGGTTATCCCCCCTGCTATTGCTCCAGACTGAATGAGTGTGAAGCTGTATATGTACAGCAGTGCTGCAAATATCAGGCATCCGAGGAACAGACTCGAGAGGATTCCACACATAACCCGGAAGAATACTTGAACGACAGACATTTTCTTTTCGGGTACATTGTTGCTGGACATTTCGATGTCAAGAGTGTCACTGCTTCCTCCAAGTGTCGTCAGTGTCATCTGGTCGCTTCTCTTTGGTGTCATGACGTTTTGTGTCATGTGCGTGTAAATGCTCGACACTCTGGAATAAAAAGGCGGACATTGATCACAATTTTGAAGGAGTTCCATTTTTTAAGAATATGTTTATTATGTTATGGCTTGTCAGCTTGGGGAGTTAATCTTTTAATGATTGTTGTAGTTATGATTTGCGGAGCATATTCGATTGATATCGTGGCAACATATTTGAGTACAGTAAACTACGGTTATAACGAACACGCTTATAACGAAATGACGGATATAACGAACTTACTTTTTGGTTCCGACTACTTGCTGTAGTTATGCTGTATATGTGCATATAACGAACTACGGTTATAACGAACTAAAAGTAGAAGTCCCTTTGAGTTCGTTATAACCGTAGTCTACTGTAATTGAATCTTGAACAGGCAAGACAAAATGAGAAACGATCCATGCTGTGGAAGTACGATTACATATCCTCAGGAAGGTGACACATCTCAGATATTAACTCTAGTGACGCTGTGAAACCCACAAGCCATGGAAGAATACAGAAACAAAACCAGGACGAATATAGGAATTGAACCCGATCAACGAATCCTCACACAACCAAGGGATTCAACTCTCGTCCACGAAAGCCATTTTTGACACAACAAAAGCTTCAAACATGAATTGATTAATAGAGCAGTCTTAGTATGTTATTGATGATTGTAAAAAAGCAATTCATAACCGTCAAAAAGAATACGAAAATATTTATTACCTATATCAGAATATATTTGTCATTTGTCATATGTATAGTATCTCTCACAGGAAGTGTATATCATCGTGAGGTCAAATTCATACAGTTTTGACGATCACAGAATAAGTAATATAAACGTCAAAATGTATGAAATGGAATAAACAATATTCATTGTCTTCTTAGTAGCAGATTTAATTATTCATAAATGATTGATCGATGCAGCGTACCCTTGACTTTAAACCGTATTGGGAAAAATATGTAAATAAATGCTATCGCTAATCGAGAATGGGAGCTCTAATCGTTAATGCGTCTATTTCAAACGAACATATCCTATCGACGTTGGTTTGTTTTAAGTTGGCTGCACCTCTCGTTTAGCATCGTTTGCCGACAATAATTATCTGTGTAACTAATATAAGGTTATTACGTTTTATTTGCCCAACCAAAGTCAGGATAATACAACAGTGATAACATAGAGTCCGCATGATACATTCAGATTACTTCATCACGATTCCGACGACCCAAAATTTCGAAACTGTGCAATGATAGAAATAGCCAAAAGTTTAAAAAATCGAAATATGAAACAAAGTAACCCTATTTCATTACAAAAAATACTTGTCATCCTTACTTCGAAGATTCGTTAAATAATTAAACATTCACTTGTTGTAAAATTTCTTTTTATTATTTATTGGCCACCGATCATACTTTCCTTTTATAATTCTCGGTAAACAAACTAACCTATGCATAATCTTGACCATCGTGCTCCTCCTGCAAGGGCTGTGAAGGTACTCTCTTGGACACAGTCCAGTATTCCCCGTGGTGTTGTTGTGGCCGACCACCCAGCCGTTACCGACGTCCTTGATATCGGTGATCTCATCGCCCACTGTCAGCGCCAGCTCGTCATGGTAACGGGGATTGTACGAGTGCTTCGCTCGTAATGCGCCCGAGTCTGGGGAGGGAATAGATAGGTTCGTTCAGTTCATGCTCGCTGCGCTTTATCATGGCGACTGGCAAACTACGTAGACAATGATGCATACTAATTTAAAATCTTTACACATTTTTTTTTTGTCTAACGCCGCACTAAACAATATTCAAGCTTTATGACGGCGGTCTGTAAATAATCGAGTCTGGACCAGACAATTCAGTGATTGACATCATGAGCATCGATCCACGCAATTGGGATTCGATGACTTGCATCATGAACCAAGTCACCGAGCCTGACCACCCGATCCCGTTAGTCGCCTCTTACGACAAGCATAGTCACCTTATACGGCAAGCAAGGGTTGCTGAAGACCTATTCTACCCTGGATCTTCACGGGTCTACACACTTGTACATGTACGTACATGACATATTGGACACTGGATGGCAGGATGTTAAGTGCGAGTATTGCTGGGAACCACAGATACAAAAAGAGGTGAAGTGAAAAGAGGTTTAACGTCCCGCAGTGCCAGCCCACTGAGATACCAAGCCTTAGTTTAACATGGATACCCCACTCAGACACCGTGTACTGACTCCGAGCCGACCAGTCCCCGTTTTATCCCCTTAATGCCAGGGTAATGCCACCGACGCTCCGCACTCCGGCCAGACACACTATCCACGATTAAACGGGAGCGCTAACGTACATAGAAATAAGTATATCGTAATGGTGGTATTATGAAAAGAAAATATCCATGGCTGGCATGAGGAAAACATGTGTAGAATTAAGTGAGTGAGTGAGTGAGTTTTACGCCGCTTTTAGCAATATTCCAGCAATATCACGGCGGGAGACACCAGAAATGGGCTTCACACATTGTACCCATGTCGGGAATCGAACCCGGGGCTTCGGCGTGACGAGCGAACGCTTTAACCACAAGGCTAATATGTTTCACGTGTTGGAAACAGTGCGCTGAAACATCTCACCATAGAGCCTTATTCAAATGACTCGAAATAACAGTTTTGTAATCTTTTTAATTTAGGATAACCAACAGATTTACTTTCGTTTCATTCGGAAGCGAAGCGTTAACAGAGAGTAGGTCACCACAACACAACATCCGTAGCTACTTCTCCAAATACGAAATTCTAAGAGGAAACACATGCACTTGTGTACACAATGCTAGGCTGCAAACATATGCCATACACCCCAAAGGTTTCATCTTCCTTTCCCAATCTGCATTCTCTAATTATGTAAGTCAAGTCGACCAAGTACATGTACTTTTAAGTAATATAAAGAATCACCACTGAAACAACCCATTTAAAGCTAGTCCCATGCATTCGAGTTTCACCAAACATTTAAAATAAAGCTTTTAACAGTATTCCAGTTATTTCACGGCTTGTCAGTTTGATGTGGAAGGAAAGCCTGAAGCGATGCAGGTCTCAGACGTTTACCACCTAGGTGAAACCCACGAGCACGGGTATGGTGCTGACAAACATAATCGGGATTCGAACCCATGACCATAGGTTTTTAGCGTGCCAACAGTACGCAACTGCACAGCGAATTGCGGCGCCTGAGACGACTCTGCCACCCGTTCCCCCTATTTCCAGTAAGGTAGTTGAAAAAGTCTTTCAGTAATTGATATTAAAGTGAATATTATGCCAGCTACATTTCCTAAATGTAGATTATTCATAAACTATTCACCATGGTTTCACTAATGCAAAGGAATATTTTTTTTATTTTTTTTTCAGAAAGGCAGTAGCACAAAACAGAAAAAAACATTGTTTAATTAAAGCATATATGAAAAGGATTATTCTAACCAGCTTATATTTCATAACATATTGTCATCATCGACATGAAATGAGTGTTTGAAGAAAACAGTCTTACCTTCGTTTTTAGTGATGGTTTCCATAGCGATGTCCTAATGACACGGTGACCCACTGATGTGATTCTAACTGTTCCTTACTTTGCAGCTGTTTATATAGCGGCTACTTAGGCCTGTCGCCGATTGGTCATCTGTTGCATGTCCGATGGGGTCATGAATATATTCCGGTACTGTACATGACTTATTAGGAATTATCATCACACAACAGCGTTTTGTAAACACAACCAGGACATATTTCATGAATCATTTAAATAATATATGGCCTGATATGTATGGAATAAAATTGATGAAAATATTAATGTACTTACTGGTTTAATTGTTATTATATTCCTATAGTAAACCTAAGATTTGATCTTTACCCTGATATAAACCTGTCATATTTTTTAGATAAAATCCCGATTTTCTCATGTAATTCTAATTTTCCTAAGGGATTTGTCCTCCTTAAAGGAAAGAATCCAAAGCCCCATTTTGACCCATGCGGTCTGCATGATGGGCATGAGAAGTCGTACGACTCCAACTATATGTTTATCATAAGCATGTGTTGATGAATCACAGTTGCAGTTCGCAAAACCTTTAGAATCATTATTCATATGGATGAGAATTAGATATCTCTTCATTTTAAAACTTGTGTACTTAGATTTATACCAGTAGTGTATGTGTAATTAGGCTGAATGTCTTCAAAAGCCGATTTATTTAGGTTTGAAGAAGAGAATATTTGGGATTTTGGCCTAGATATATTGTTTAAATAGTAATTTATTCCAGAGAAAAATATTTTTAAAATATATTGCTTGGTGGATATGATAGATGTCATGTAAAAAATGTGTTGTGAATTTTATTTTAATTTCTCGGCTACTCCTTCACAGAACAAAATGCGAGTTTCGAAGCAGTGACCAAAAATACTCTGTCTCTCATAAACAATATCTTAAAAATAAAACAAATTCAGAACACCACTTTATGTCCAATAAAGAAATATAATTCAGATACATTTAAATGGTAAAGCGTAGTATCTGTATTTTTAGACTATACTTCAGTGTGACATTGTTCAAAGAAGGAATCCATATATCCATACTGATTGAATATTGATGTAAAAAGCAGTAAAACTATATATTTTTGCCATAAGTCGACGAGAAAGTAATGTTATTTGGATAGAGATGCCTCAATGCCCCGCTCCATGTATGATATCAAGGTACTGTCATTTGTGTGAAAATACATATCTTTGTGGTTGTTCATTTGTTGAATATTTTCTCATAATAAATAAATATTTAATCACATAAACACGGGCAAAACGTTGGTTTTTTATTAACAAAAATTGGGGCTTTCAAACGAGGCATGTATATTCTTTTAAGTCGTTACGTAAACAGCAAATAAACTTGATGATTATTTTTTCTATCACGTAACGTATGGTATAATAAAGCGCTTAGTGCCTAGTGAAAAACCCACCCAAAACTTGTCGGAGTATGTGAAGACTACCCAACACTGCAGCCTTCTGCATTACCTAGATAGAGTGTGTGTGTGTGTGTGTGTGTGTGTGTGTGTGTGTGTGTGTGTGTGTGTGTGTGTGTGTGTGTGTGTGTGTGTGTGTGTGTGTGTGTGTGTGTGTGTGTGTGTTGGGGGGAGGGGGGGGGGGGGGGGGGTGGTGGTAATGAGAACAATGGTCGGACAACTTGGTACTTGGGATGCAAGCGTGACATTTCATAAGCGAGGTCCGCTTGCAATGTTTTTCCTGAATCTTGTCAATCACATTAGTGTCAAAGGGGACTGAAAATTCAATGATGTAAATGATTTCATTGGATTTATAAATAAGGACTAGATCAGGTTTGTTGGCCTGGATACGTCTGAGGCTGTAAACGGGCCTATTTCGAAGAATTCTATATTTATTACTTTCCATGCATGACGCCCTCTACATATGCTGGGTCGTAGCAGGGATGGACCTCTGTGTCAAAACCACAAGCATGACGAAGGCGGTAACCGTGACGCGCCATCATGTCACGTACTGTGTTTGTGGGGTTTTGTTTGTTTGTTTGATGCAGTGGTCCTTCAGATAGCCTCTCCTTGAAAAACCGAGTCTGCATATTATTGTTAGTAGTTTCAAGGCACTGGGCCAGACTTGTCAACACGCCAAACAGGAGAGTCACTAAGAAGATATTTTTATGGGCCAGTAAGTTCAAGTAAAACTGGAACTCCAGGGTGACGTCGTGTCTTGAGAGAATAGACCTTGGGCACTTAACATCTACTAGCTCACACATTGAGCCGAGGCCCCTTGCCGCGGCAGTAAGAGAAAGACTGATGTCAGTGTATAAAACAAAGTGGTGGGACAAGCTACAGTCAATACAAGGGGCGAGGGGAAGAAATAAACTGAGAACCTACAGGCGTGTCAAACACCATTACGATACGGAAGAATACGTGAAGAAACCACTGAGTCGTTGCCACAGAAGTGCGCTCGCTAAATTTAGATGCGGGGTAGCCCCATTAAAGTTAGAAACTGGCCGCTATTCTAATATTCCAGCAGAAGAGCGATTTTGTTTTAACTGTAGAGACTGTGTGGAGGACGAGATACACGTCTTACTTTTATGCCCATTATATAATGATGTGAGAACAGATCTTCTTAAACGATGTACTTTTACCGATCCGTATCTCCAAGGCTATTCCTACTGTGAGCAATTTACACTACTTTTATCCAGCTCCGATCTCACCTTTTACGTGGCCAAAACCTGCTATGATATTTTATTGAAGCGCCGATCTATTTTATATTCATGATGTATATATTGTATGTATACTCATTTTAGTATATAAGTTGGTTTTATGATCATATCGTCTCTCATCAGTCGTTTTACGACTGGCCGTAAGTTTTAAACATGTTTTGATTTATATGTATACTGTACAATGTACCTTATGGGTGAGACGCAAATAAATTATTGTCTTGTCTTGTCTTGTCTAGTAGTAGTAGTAGTAGTAGTAGTAGTAGTAGTAGTAGTAGTAGTAGTAGTAGTAGTAGTAGTAGTAGTAGTAGTAGTAGTAGCAGCAGCAGCAGTAGTAGTATTCAACTCGTTGTTGTGACCATCTCCACGTTATTTAATTAATAGCAAGAAACAAATATGTCTCATATATCTCAACGACTAATAATCCTACACACGTAGACAGGGACTCGGCACCTACACCGGCACCTACACCGGCACCTACAGCGGCACCTACACCGGCACCTACACCGACTTGGAATCCCAGGGTCTTAAGTAAGCTAACATTAACATACTTTTTCCTATCAGTAAACACGTGATTTGTTCATGTCATTATTTCATCCCGTCATACAAAATAGTGACTTTCCCGAAAATCGGTGACAGGTTTTATCCGTTATGCAGATGTATGAAGTCAGGAACATCCGCTCCAAACGGAACAACGGTCACTTAAGTTCCTTATATGGTACTGACCTAAATTCTCAAAACCAATAATGAAATAATCAAAAATACAGTCACGCTGATGAATCGTAAAGTAGGTTTATATAAATCAGAATGCAAGATGTGAATCACTTCTGCCCATTGGTATGAGTCATCGTGGAGACCACGCCCCTTCCCTCTCTCCGTCGGAGGTCATTGGCTAGAACGTTGTGTACGAGGAAGTGTTCTGTGACATACGTTATCTTCGCTCAAGTACAGTTGAACGGAAATAGATGCTTTTGTTCTAATACTTCCTATCGTAACGGTATGCTATGCAGTAATTGTATAACTCCGGTTATCAAGGATAGACTTGACGACGATGTTTAAATATCATGAAAATGTGTCGGATGGGAAAATATTCAAACTATATTTTATATAATATTTAAGTCTTTTCAGTTACAGTAAAGTACGGTTATAACGAACTCAAGGGGACTACTAATTTTAGTTCGCTATAACCATAGTTCGTTATAAGCATATATACAGCATAACTACAGCAAATAGTCGGGACCAAAAAGGTAAGTTCGTTATATCCGTCAGTTCGTTATATCCGTCAGTTCGTTACAACATTTTAATACAAATGAAATTTTCATCGACAGCAATAATGGGTTTCTGGAAGGATGAAAACAATTGGAGTGAAGTGAATGGGGTTTAACATCCCAGTCAAGGTTATTGCACTTATATAGCGAGGTGTGTGTGTGTGTGTGTGTGTGTGTGTGTGTGTGTGTGTGTGTGTGTGTGTGTGTGTGTGTGTGTGTGTGTGTGTGTGTGTGTGTGTGTGTGTGTGTGTGTGTGTGTGTGTGTGCACGCGCGCGCGTGCAGGTGTGTGCGTGCGTGCAAATGTGTGTCTGCGATGTGTGTGTGTGTGTGTGTGTGTGGTGTGTCTACTGTCTTGTGTGATGATGATGAATAAATATGTGTCCTCTACTGTTTTATGTCCCCTACCGTCGAACCCTCATCCTCACTTGCGAATGTATTATCTTTCTACATAAATGACAACAAACTCCACTTGAAATTTATATCAAATTTTATCGTGTCGAACATGTTGTGTCATTTTGTTCTGTGGTATGAAGGGAGGTTATTCAGCAGCCAGATGTCCTCATGATCATCAGACAACCTACACGTATCATCTACCCGTGAAGATCCGGGGTAGAATAGGTCTTCAGCAACCCATGCTTGCCGTGAAGATCCGGGATAGAATAGGTGTTCAGCAACCCATGCTTGCCGTAAAAGGCGATTATGCTTGTCGTTAAAGGCGACTAATGGGATCGGGTGGTCAGGCTCGCTGACTTGGTTGATGCATGTCATCGTATCCCAATTTGCATGGGTCGATACTCATGATGTCAATCACTGGATTGTCTTGTCCAGACTCGATTATTTATAGACCGCCATTATATAGCTGGAATATTGCTGAGTGTGGCGTTAAACAACAAACAAACAAATAAACATGTATCATCACCAGACCACCAAACTGAATGAGTGACCAAAGTAAAAAATACCTCATTATATCTATACACCTAAAAAGTTCATAAAATATATCTAGACCTACAGCAAAAAGCAACCAATGGCGTGAAAAGCATGATATCAATAAACAGACTCAAAATTAATTACGCATATATGTGGATGACAAATTCTCCCCTGATTATTGGTGGGTGTTGAGTTCACCGCTCTGGCGATGACTTAAATATTTCCAGCCTTGTCATTACATCTCAAAATGTAACTGAATGCATGTTGGTCTAGAACACACATTAAAACACCATATGGTATTAGGTGAGGTAAAGTGAAATGGGGTTTAACGTCGCGTCCAAGATTATTGCTTTTATATAGCGACGTGTATGTACGTGTGTGTGTTTGTGTGGCTGCTTGTACTAGTCCGGACTGATGCCGATTTATAGTGCTAGCTCACTGATATACCATGCCGCAGTTTAACATGAATACCCAACTCAGACACAGTATACTGACTCCGAGCCGACCAGTCCTTGTTTTAGCCCCTTAATGCCGAGCGCCAGACAGGGTAACAACAAGTACCATCTTTTAACGTCTTTTGGTATGACGTGGTCGGGGATCGAACCCCGGACCTTCCGCTCTCCGGGCAGACGCTCTACCACTAGACCACGGAGGCGGTCCCATATGGTATTAAGGTGGGGAAGACCATAGAAGGATATAATGATATGTATGCTACCCAGGGGGGGGGGGGGGGGGGGGGGGGGGGGGGGCAAATATTGCTGACGTTGGCATTATTTGGTTGCCACGTTCCTCACACTGTAAACATGTGTTCAGAATGTAAACACAAACATCCAAACACGTTTTGGGTCTAAACACGTGAAATGAGCTATCGTTTCACAGTCTAAACACAAGCTTACACAACACCCCATAATTTAGACAAAGTTAAACATGTTTATCATAGTGTATTATCCTCATGATTTATACAAATTAATGATCTTTAAACAAATAATGTTTAGAATTTAAACATGTTTAAAAAAGTGCATGTCATTGGGTATTAAGTCAAATATAGATACGGTGTATAAGGAATATTGAAATAGTCCACCAGGACTTACAAAAGACTTGGTACAATATTAACATAATAACGCACACATATACTAAGGTACAATGATTTAAAAACTAGAAACATCGACATGTGTGACTTCAACAGTCTGTAGCACAGGTGGATCGTAAATGACAACAATTCGTATCCCATGGAGGTATAAAAAGTGTTGTGTTTATAAATGCTCTATGACTAACATTATTTCATTCATATTTGAGACGGAAGCTGAAAATGATAGACCACCAACTTTTTAAAGTTCCCTCCATTAAACGCTAAAAACGCCGTTTTTATATTACCTAAATTAATTTTAAGGAAGGAACGCGCTAAGGTTTGTGTTTAGGACCTAAATACATTTTTCGGTGCTGAAATATCCATACTTAACAAGTACATTTACAACTGAGGTGTCAGCGACTATTCTAGAGGAGGAGCGACCTGGGATTTGTTAAATACAGATTATGTTTGCGGTCACTTCTTACATCTTCCAAAGACAATTTTGTAAAACCGAATATTTTAACCAGTAAGCAATAACAGTTTGAGATAGCTGTTTGCTATACATCACCTTAGTTTGATTATTAAACCTTCCCCAGGGTACAGTTCTAACTGATATAGATCTTTTTTATCACCAATGTGATATTTTCCGGATTTAAAGTTTTCTGTAGTGAGAGTTATCTCCCCAAGACGCACGCCGTTCAACGCGTTAGCGAAATTATCGATCGACACGTCATGTCCAAAATTGATCGTGACAAGATAGCTCTCTCCTGCTGGCGTGGAACGAGTGTACGAAAATATGTTGTCGTTAACGATGCCATATTCAAGTCCGCCATATTGAAAACACGGTTCGTTTCTGAGGACTGCCAATTTCCGATACAGATTCAGGGGAGACGACTGTGACGAAACTGTCTGATGCTGAAATAAGAATTAGAGAAATGATATTAAATATAAAACGTCAAAGTCAGAGAATAACCAGTCTCGATTATCCATCGAAACAGATTCATTCGGCGTAAACGGCAAAATAGCGATAAGATTCTCGCTAAAAATGGTTAGCATGTTCTGCCCTACCAAACACAAAAGATAAGATAAGATATAACTTTATTAACCGATTTAGGAATTCGGTTTACATTTACGAAAAGCTCGTAGATACATGTAACATAAATACAGACACAAAAAAGGAAAACATGAAATGTAACAACATATGAATGAACATACAACGACGATAGCACCACGCATTAAAAACGTATTATTTGAGCAATAAAAGATGAAAGTTACTTGTGGGTAATTGTATATGGCTTCTTTTGAAAATAGCGGGCCTGTGTACAAGATTTAAAGGTTAATACTAAGTTAACATGGCAATAAACCAATAGAAGATTGAAAGACATTTGATGGATAAAAGTGTATGACTCAAAAACGTAACCTCATGTAACAGAAGCATGCTTAAGATATTAACATGGCTTGTTTAAGAGACAAATACTGGTGGGAATAAAACATGGACGAGACCTTTTTGTTTTGAATTTTGGCACCGGAATCTGCGACCCGAATGGAGAAATGTGAAGTGATGGTTGAGATGGTCCTGGGTAAAATGTATTCTGCCGTCATTCCTATCAAGCTGGCCTAGATTAGATATGTGGCTTTATTTAATTGATGCGACATAATCATCTGAATATTTTTGACTATTATACGAAAATTGCGATATTACGGTAACCTTATCTCTTTTGCCGTCCTTTGACGACTGCTGGTCACAAAGTGGGTATTGTTGTAGGTCGCTTTTAGCAATATTCCAGCAATATCACGACGGGGAACACACCAGAAATGGGCTTCACACATTGTATGTGTGGGGAACCGAACCCGCGACGACCCCTTTGTCGACAGATTTTGATCATGAATCGCAGTATTTAATGTTAAAAGTGGCGGAGGCAGGTTTAAAAATTGGGTCAAATGGAGTAACAAACATCCATTACGTCAATATCTAATTTGGAATATATATATATATATATATATATATATATATATATATATATATATATATATATATATTGGCTATCCGTCCACAGATGTTCCTAGTGTCATTCCAAGTTCTTGCTCGACGAGCATCTTCTTAATGGTTAAATTTTGAAATAAATTGTAATATTTCAACCAAATTTATTGTCTTTAAATGAATGTCATCAAGTTATGTTCAGTTATGTTCTTTTGTACATGATTTGCCATTGAAAAAATCACATTTGCATGTTGATATGTATTGAAAATTATTTCCAATGAAATGAATGCCCTTCATATGTTGATGCAAGCTGGCGTACGTGAATCTAAAGGGGTGTTTTGTCCTCTCATCTGGTGCTTATGTCAAGTGGAGATCCACACTGGGTAGTGAAACCCCGTGTTATGTGCGAAACTGAGCCATACTATCTGTGTATTTTAGGTAATCAATAGCAGCTGGTCTGGTTGAAATATAACTAACAATATGAATTTAGAAACGAATGAAACTTGACAGGACCTGGATCTAGCGCCCCTTTAATACTCAGGATTTGAGTAAATTTCCAGGACTGCGTTTATAACATCACAAGCTCTCTCCTGAATAGATCATTTTACACATTGTACCCTGTGCCAATGTTTTTGTTTATCAGACATGCTACTGTTAGAGAGGTAAACTCAAGTGTCGAAGGTTATCAACAAACGTGTACACCAGTTTTTACAGTAAGTGATATTAGCTTCATCCACTGAGTCACACAGGCATCGGACTGACCTCGACATTCTCATATGATGACGTCTCGCTGACAGGTAGCCAGGGCACGCGACCGGATGTGAACCCGCCGTGTTTCTCTCCATTCCACTGCATAGGTGTCCGCGAGGGGTCGCGGCTGTACTTCCGGAAATACTCCTATGTTGAAAACAAACAAAACATCAAAAGTTTTGTTCGTTCACTTCACAACCATAGACCTTTAGGCAGTGTTTACATTTGAACAAGGCTAACAGTTGTATTAAATTAGCATTGATGTTTTACAAACTTCTGGTGAAGAACAGTCATCCTTCTCAAAGAAATATTCATTGACCTTCATGGTCGGTGATTGTTTATGGCACTGGTCTCAACACATTTTTGTTAATGTGGTAACAGGAAGACCTACAATGAAATGCATGTATGGCAGGGTGGTGGGTTCACCTACGGACATACATAACCCTTACTTAGGTCCGTGGTACGCCCCATTATGATACACGATATATCAACACCATGCCCATGTGGGTGCGTTGATGACCTTGGAACATTCCTCTTTATTTAGCTAACGCCCTGTGATATAATATAAATACTGCTTAAAGATGTGAGAAAATAGAACTTAAATAATGCATAAAGCTGTGAGTAAATAGAACTGCAATACTGCATATAGCTGTGAGTAAATAGAACTTAATTAATGCATAAAGCTGTGAGTAAATAGAACTTAACTGCTGCATAAAGCTGTAAGCAAACAGAACTTAATTAATGCATAAAGCTGTGAGTAAAAAGAACTTAACTGCATAAAGCTGTGAGTAAATAGAACTTAAATAATGCATAAAGCTGTAAGTAAATAGAACTTAAATAATGCATAAAGCTGTGAGTAAATAGAACTTAAATAATGCATAAAGCTGTGAGTAAATAGAACTTAAATACTGCATAAAGATGTAAGTAAATAGAAGTTAAATAATGCATAAAGCTGTGAGTAAATAGAACTTAAATACTGCATAAAGCTGTAAGTAAAAAGAACCTAAATAATGCATAAAGCTGTGAGTAAATAGAACTTAACTACTGCATAAAGCTTTGAGTAAATAGAACTTAAATACTGCATAAAGCTGAGAATAAATAGAAATAAATAGAGGCATAAAACGCCTGAATCGGTTACTTGACCACAAATGACAGCAAGCAAGACTTAATTGTCATATGGGCAAGATTTGGGAATGCACCATTCTGTCACCAAAGACATTAGCATTGGAGTGAGTCAGTGGTACTTGACAGTGCATACTGTAAGGTTCCTCGCATATCCATGGTGCTAACCTCGCCCTGGCCTTTAGCTTGAAGATCTTGACCCTGGTCAAAGGATACGTGGACATCCGACATCCCTAACTCTTCCCCATAGTATGTTGTGGGTGTTCCCGGCAACGTCAGTAACAACATGTTGACAGCGTTCACAAAGTCTTTACCCATCTTGCTGGCGACACGAGGGTTGTCATGGTTACCAACCTTGATGAAGATATTAAAGCACAAATTACACATATCATGATCGGATTTGATTCTTTGTACGCGACCGCCTTTCATAAACACACGCTTGTTTGAATGTGTTTGTTTGAATTTGACTGAAGCCGCCACCGTTTTGTCAACTACAATTTCAATTCCCATAAAATGATACTTTTCTTACACTGGCTAATCTTATTGGCATATGATTGGCTGATATTGAAGATCAAGTTCACAGTCTCTGCCTGTAAACACGATGTAAGTTGGATATGCTGCTGGAGAAGTTGAAGTGTAAATAAAAGAGATAAAAACCATATCATAAGCATGTGTTTATGAATCCTTTTCAAATAGTAATGACACCAGGTGTTCGCGAAATGTAAACCTATCAAGATTTACCGGTGGCACCCGTCACAAACACATGCAAAGGCAAGTCAACTGTTCACCTGAATAAACATTGGAACACATCGTACAAGTCAAAATAGAGAATTGCATCGAACATATATTTTATCATTGATGCGTCAAATGCCCTCTACATGTCTACCATAAACCCTTTTGAAAGCTCTACTTAGGCCTTAAATACTGTAACCCTGATCAACAACTTTTGAGTAAGTGTCGTATGATTCCCTAGGACATCTTCGGAAAAAACAAGCTTCATTGTACCTCAAAAGTTGTGAAATGTAGACACCTAAGACTGGAGCAGCTGTGTGCTCAATTTAAATCGAAAGTTGACTATTGGAAAGTCTTCCCTCTAGTAACATAGTCTTGTGGATACTTTTGTCACTCTATGCATAGATGCAAATAACAAAAGGATCAGGGCCCCGTTCCACAAAGTGATCTTAGCGCTACGATTGTCGTAAGTCAGTGTTAAGGAATGGGAGTTATGATCGAATTAGCGTTAAGATCACTTTGTGGAACGGGGCCCAGGCCGTTTCACTGGTCTCTGTCATTTCAAGTACAAATTACCGTGTGGGTAAATCAGAGGGAGGTTATTTCTGACCATTACCAAACGATATCAGATGATCGATTTACCTGAAACTTACGTTAACACGCTGCTCAAAATAGATAGAAATATAGAGCGTTTTAGTTAAATACTCAGTAGACACGTGAAGTCATTAATCTGGAATGACCTAGTAAGCAAACAGAAAGCTTTCTTAATAAGTTAGCTAGATGATCACTGATTGAAGTTGTAGTTGTGTGATCAAAAACATCATGATGCCGGAATTGCATTACAGTGAGTGAGTGAGTTGGGTTTAACGCTGCTTTTAACAGTATTCCAGTTGTATCGCGGCGTTTAGACGTTTACCACTTCGGTGAAACCCACGGGCACGGGTATGGTGCTGACAAACCTAGAAACATAATCGGGCAAACCGGGATTCGAACCCACAATAACAGGTTTCTGGCGTGCCCAAGGGACGCAACTCTGCACAGCGAATCGCGGCGCCTTAGACGACTGGGCCTCCCGTTGACATTGTCCTCGCGAGGATCTAATGGCGGGGAGTGTCGTTATAATATAAAACGTCAACGACAGAGGATAACCAGGATCGATTTTCGGACGAAACCAATTCCGTTGAGCGTAAAATGCCAAAACAGCAACGATAATCATATGAGTGAGTGAGTGAGTTGGGGTTAACGCCGTTTTTAACATTATTCCAGTTATATCACGGCGTGACAGCTTAATGTGGGAGGAAAGCCCAAAGAGATGCAGGTCTCAGACGTTTACAACTTCGGTGAAACCCACGGGTCTGGTGCTGGCAAACCTAGAAAGATAATTGGGGTTAACCGGGATTCGAACCCACAATCATAGGTTTCTGGCGTGTCCAAGGGACGCAGCTCTGCACAGCGAATCGCGGCGCATTAACGACTGGGCCACCCGTGCCCCCGATAATCATTTGAATGGACTATAAAAAAATTCATAGTTTCCGCACTGGGAGAAACACTTTATTGGTCATATTTCTATTCGTCACCACTGTTCCTGTCGCCTACTGGATTGTTGCTAATTGTAGGACCATGTGGATGTTAGATGTAAATGTGCACGTTCACTTGCATTAACATTTAGCTTACTGTCACATCATTACATCGAGTTATGACTAGGCTTGCCTTTCCAAAACTAGATTCAGTTTCAAATCCATTTTGATCATATACCAAGGGATGGTAATAAAAGTAATCAACAAATTTCAAAAGAATAATAACGTAAATATAAACCCGAATTATATGATATATGATATGTGTTGGGGACATTTAATTTCATTTGCGATTTTTTTTAAATCTATTTGCAACAGACCAAAATAGCTATTCTTTCATTAAAGATAAAAAAAAACCATGAAGTTATTTCCTATTCATTATTCAAATAAATGTTTACTGAAATATTAGAATGTGTAAGGTGGACGTGTATCTATTGAAAGAAGGAGTTGGCTAAATCTACTCAGGTTATTCATATATTTTCATGGTACTCGTGGATCAGATCACATTGCACAAGATGTTTGTCAGCTGAGCTTAGTTAAGATTTGTGTACCAAACGAGAGAATTTATTTATATTTTTAAAAGAGATATGAATCTGGCATGGGGTATTAATGTAATGTGTAGCATCAGTCACGACAATTGACACTGGCATATATAGAGAAAATCCACTTTTCCATAACAATGACTTTAACTGGTGATTTATTAGCGGGCGGCTTTGTGTGAGTGGACAAAAAATATCAAAATTAGGACAGTGTAGGTAAAATATACTTTATGTGGATTTAGTTGCTTCTCAGTGGGCTAGCACTATAAAATCGGCATTAGTCCGGACTAGTACAGCCAAACACACACACACACACGCACGCACGCACGCACGCACGCACGCACACACACACACACACATACATACACACGCCTCTGTGTTTTGTCAGACCTGTGTCTGATACCTTCATTACATTAACAAGTGACGACTGAACCAAAAATACAGATTGTTGAAAACAATTGATTACTCGATGAATATTCAGAACTATATGATGGTTGGTAGACCTCATTCAAGTATAAAAATTATGAAACTTAAAGTAATTCTTTCGAAATTTGTGAAATGAAAACTCTGACTCTAACATATATTACAATAAAAGAAAGCTGTTATATAAAGATAACCATTAAATACTTACTGAAACTTAATGTGATAAATATTAGGGGTTTCAAATGGCCTACCTGGGTGACGTACACATTGTCTTGCTTATTAGAACCTACAGTCCTCCTTGGGTATAATGCCACCCTGTATATAATGCCACCCTGGATATAATGCCACCCTGGTTATAATGCCACCTGTATATAATGCCACTCTGGTTATAATGCCACCCTGGTTATAATGCCACCCGGTTTATAATGCCACCCTAGTTATAATGCCATATTTTTCTCAGAACAGATTTCCGCAGTGCAAAATTCCCTGGTTAAAATACCAGCCACGTTATAATGCCAATGACGTTTTAGAACAAACGTTCCAATTCGCTGGTCATAATGCCATTTGTTTATTTAAATTTGACCAAAACTTGGCTATGTAGTTACAATGGAGATAATTCCCTCTTTCGAATTAAAAAATACTGATCTCAGTTGTTTTCACAGCTCACTAAGAGAATTATTCACCTTCTTAAAATAACAAACAAATTAGTATGATGATGATGATACTACCTATTAAAAAGCTTAAATAAATTGGCATTTAATCTTCCGGCAGAATACATACTTGAAATGATGGTAAGGGAGGGAGGGATGTTATGGAGTGATGCATGTAAATATTCCGCAGGTAAATATAAGCTTGTCACAACGATTCCCCTAGGACTAAATCCTTGACCAAACAACGATTCACGGAAGTCCCCATCTTCCCGGGGCAAGGGAGTTAACTGACTCCAGTTTCCACCCTTGCCGAACTAGGCTGGAATTTCTGAGCTCGATCGTCGAGCGTCACCGGTGGATATTCAGAGTTATGTCCCTTCCATATCCCTTCTATTGACCAATGAAATTCCACTTCTCATATCCCTTGTATTTGCTTCAAACGAAATGGCGGCGCCAAGTGAAGACGGTCTGATCGATAATCAAGATCAATATTGTAATAAAACGGGTTTTACTTCGCGAAGTGCATCAAATTACGTGACCACCTTGATTAAAAACATCTGGAAAATATCTGTTAATGCTAAGTTGAAGGTACACATGCTTTGCAAATCCTGCACAGTAGTTTACGAACCTGATTCCGTTACGCGATTTTGATTGGACTACGTATAGACTCGTAAGTCCAAACAAAATATAACTTCATAATTCCAGCCCAGTTCGGCAAGGGTGGAAACTGGACTGTTATCGTCAGGTAACTCCCTTGCCTCAGGAAGATGGGAAGTCCGACAAACTCACGACCGACATTTACTGAGACATGCCTACTGTAATGACGTCACATCTTGAGTTCTGCCAGTCTCTGTCGTAAAAGAATTTGTCACGCGTTAAGAGTCATTCTAAAGTCTTCTTCATGTTGTTTTGTTTCCAGCAATAAATTTATGACATATAGAGAAGGATTACATAAGCAGGGATTCATTTAAGATGGGGTTTGGAAAGGCATTTTGTTAAACGCCTCATGCATTGAACATTTTAGTAAAATAATTTATTATTGTGGCATTTCTTCGTGTGGTTAGCATATGAGACCAGACATCTTTTTATGTCATTGTTTCCCGATGGCGTTGACAGTCCTTCATGCACTCATCCAATGGATGGCTTGTCCGAAATTTGATTATTCACTGCTGTGATAAAGTTTGAATATTGATGAGTGAGTGAGTGAGTGAGTTGGGTTTAACGCCGCTTTTAACAGTATTCCAGTTATAACGCGGCGTGGGAGGAATGCCCCAAGTGATGCAGGTCTCAGACGTTTACCACTTGGGTGAAACCCACGAGCACCGCGGGTATGGTGCTGACAAACCTAGAAACATAATCGGGGCGAACCAGGATCCGACCACACAATCATAGGTTTCTGGCGTGCCCAAGGGACGCAACTCTGCACAGCGAATCGCGGCGCCTTAGACAACTGGGCCACCCGTGCCCCCTGAATATTGATGGGTGATTGTGGTGTTACATAATCTCATTCAGTCCACATCGTATAGAGCTAGGATAAAATATGTTTTAAATCGTGAACATTTTATCGTGTATCTTTAAAAGGTCGTGGATAATTATTGACATCGTCCATTTTTTTGGAAACAGAATTAAGGCATCAAGATGCATTACTAACCACAAAGTTCGGCCACTGGCCTTGCGAAAGATGGCCAAGCTCCCTGTTCACGTAATGCTGAATACAGTGACCTCCACATGATCTATTGACCCGCAAAAAGTCAAAGTTGAAGGGCATATCGGCACCGTAGTCGTAGTATTGGTTCCTTATTGATACGTCATTGTCGAAGAGTGTCTCCACAACCAGGTACCTGGAAGACACAGGACTAGATTAGCCTTTCCTTAAGGAATCTGTGTGACGACAAGTTCAGTTGCACATGGTAAATGTCTTACCATCACACTTAACGCTGCGTAATGGGCGTAAAGTTTTCTTCCCGAGGCAAGCGTGTCCACTAGCCCAAATCAAAGCCTAGTTTCTACTTTGTCACATCAAGGCCACTTTTCTTGCCTTGACCCTGGCACCACCTCGCGTTGATCACGAGTTGTGCCCCTTGTAATGGAAACGCGATATCCAATCAGATCACTGTTATCTCGTACAGCTTCTCAGATAACGAAAACATTCGCGATTTCATCACTGACACAAAAAACACAGGCAATGATTGGGGGGTTTAAAAGATAAATAAGACATATTCATGTCAACAAAGATAGGAAGCGGTAAATCACTTTCACACGAAGGTGTACCAGTCGTGGATGTTCTTTGATATGAGCGACAGTCCAATCATATTTAGCACAGGAAAGTGGGCTTGACGTGGCAAGGGTGGAAACAAGAAAAAGACCAGTGGACGCTCTTGCCTTGGTAAGATGGTGTAAAGTAAGTAACTCAAAATAGTTTTCAATTTATTATTACGTAAAAGAGAGCATGTTTTGAACAATGAAACCATTATGATGACGTCACGCCATTGATCTTGCATTTGCTTCTGAGCCAGGAATTCACTCGCTGTTGTGAACGTACATTTTAGCAAGAAACACTGACGGACCTATGGGCCATGATACAAATTTATAGAGAAATCATATATCAAACATAACACAGATAGTCGGAGAAAGCAATCAAAACTATTGATTTCGGAAATCAAGAATCAACAGATTCTACAGATTTCTCCCTTACGGTATTGGATGAGCGAGTGATTGGGTTTGGTTTAAAATCTCTTTTAACTCTCTGAATGCCGAGTTATTTTTCTCACGCACATTTTCATAGGATCTGAAAAGTAATAGTTGTGCGAGAGTTGCGCTCGCGCGGCACTTGATCTACCTCCAGCTATAAAATTACTGATGGTGTAAATCAAACTGTAAATATTAAAAAGGTTTTAAAAAGACACTGCTAAGTGCTATCCGAGATTTTGTTCTGTGTTGATAACCAGCAACTTTCTCCGCTATTTATCGTTCACCGATAAAAGTACTGTGCCACAATTTGTTTTATTTAGCAACTTTACGGAAACTGTGAGCGAACAAAATACTGCCTAATATCTGAACGACATAAATTTATATCAAATGGATACTTATGGATAACATTATATATTCTATACAAAACACAGCTGATTTTACTCAATGATATCAAAAGACGACAGAGAGGTTACACGCGTACAAAGAACAGGGGGCATAACTCCGCAATGCTTAGCACTAGTTGTAACACAGCTCACATGGTGAGAGTTTGCTGCGGATAAGGACAATATTTAGTCTCATTATATAGGAATCAAACTGTTCGAACACAAATATCGATATTTAACATGAAAAATGGTGAAATCGTTCTTCATTTAAAAAAGGAAGTAATAGCGAACTGGATAGCCTTATCTAACATTTAAATTAGTCCTTAGATTCCAACATTCTCCTGATTGAGCAAGTGAGATTGGACTAAAGTTGCACTATTAATAATGGAACACTTGCTTTATCATCAAATATACTCACACGCAAAAGCAACGCAAGTGGTTTTAAGCAAATAGGTAACAAACACGGAACCATAAATAGAAAAGAGTTGTAGCATGTAGTGAAGCCTGATGGTGTTATCAATATTTTTGGTTGCATTTTGGAAGCCCCGAGTAAAAACGCAACATAAAAAACGAATCGCCAAAACGCACCATTTCAATGAATATGTGGGTATCATGCACCCATTTCTCGCGAAATCGAAAATGCACGAACTGTCACGAACTGTAGTGGGTATAAAACTATGGCCGATTCTTGGACCTACCACTCCTTGGTCAAGAATGCCTCGCCTAACTCAAATTCAGAGAAACTAGGCTATCGGACGTTTGGAAGCTGGAGAGTCTGTCCAAGATGTTCCCCGTCATTTCAACGTTAACATAACCACAATTTACCGTCTCCTGCATCGATACAATGCTACACAGACCACAGATGACCTTCCTCGGAGCGGTCGTCCTAGGGTCACCACACCTCGACAAGATCGGCAGATTACCTGTCAACACCAGCGACATCCATTCCTAACTGCAAGTGAAAGTGCTCGACAGACCATAGGAACACATAATCGACACATTAGCCGGGAAAACTGTGACCCGACGTCTCCGTTCCAACAACCTCAGATGTCGTCGAAAAGCACGTCGTCCTGTTCTCCAACCACGGCATCGACAAGCACGACTTCAGTGGGCACAGGGTCATCACAATTGGCGTCATCTTGAGTGGAGGCAGGTCATCTTCTCTGCATCTTCCCGAGGCCAAGAGAGTTAACTGACTTTAAAAAGTCCAGTTTCCACCCTTGCCGAACTAGGCTGGACTTCCTGGGCTCGATCGTAGCGCCACCAGTGGCTAATGCGAGTTTTGTCCCGTCTAAGCCTCTCCTATGGACCAATCAGATTCCACCTCTCATATCACCTGCATTTGTTTCAAACAAAATGGCGGCGCCCAGTCAAGACGATCTTGTCGATAATCATTATCTATATTGTGATAAAACGGGTCTTACATCGCGAAGTGCACCAAATCACGTGAGCACCTTGATTAAAAACATGAAAAGACTTGGAAAATATCTGCTGACAACGAGTTTGCGGTGCACATGCTTTGCAAATCCTGCAATCGACCGAAATCTGCACGACAGTTTACGAACCGGATTTCGATTTCGGTACACGATTTTGATTGGACTATGCATAGCCTCGTTAGTCCAGCCAAATTCTAACTCCATAATACCAGCCAAGTTCGGCAAGGGTGGAAACTGGACTTTTATAGTCAGTTAACTCTCTTGCCTCGGGAAGATGTCTTCTCTGATGAAAGTCGCTTTTGTGTCTCACATGCAGACGGAAGAGTCAGAATTCGGCGGCGTCGAGGTGATCGTTTCGCTGACAGAAAGGGATCCATGGGGTGGACCTAGCGTCATGATATGGACAGGGATTGGACTTAATGCGAGACTTGGACCCATGTGCTTTCTGAATGTTGGTCAAGGTCGGGGACAAGGCGTCACTGCTCAGCGGTATATCGACCAAGTGATCAGACCCCACGTTGTTTCATTTTTTGCACGACATCAACAACACATTTTCCATCAGGACAAATCCCTAGGGCCTTCACAAATCGTCTGATCCACTCAATGTACAGGAGATGTGTGGCAGTGATCAATGCTTATGGTGGTCACACCAGGTATTGACTGACATTTTGGGTATTGACCCGAAACTGTGTAAGCCCTTAACATTTGAAAAAAACAATTATGCCTTTTAATCAATTAAACTGTCTTCAGTCAAATCTTTGTCAATCTTGCCTTATTAGTATTTCTTGTCTTTACTGTTAAAAATAAATAACGTGTATACTGCATACTCGACTTCCGTTTCTTTTGCGTGTGAGTATACATTGGATAGAAGTTCATGCGGGGAAACCCACAGGTACGGTTGTTGTAATGATAGACCAAGAATCACAATCGGAATTCTTGGATTTGAACCCTGGATATGTGTAATCTTGCATGGCACAACACATGGACCACTGGGCCACCCTTCCTTCAGTAACCGGATCTACATTGATTGAGTATCACATGCAGAGTACATGTGTTGCCCTGCATTTTGATGCGCCCTAATTCCCTGTGCAGAGTAGTGTCCCTTTGCCGCGCCAAGATCCGTTTATTATGGCTTCGAATCCCAGATTCTGACAGATTATGATCCTAGCTCCGTCGGAACCCTATCTAAGCTGATGGGTAAAGGCAGTGTGTCACTTTGGGCATTCCTTTCACAGTTGCCACGCCATGATAATACTAAAACATTGTTCAATAAGACTTTAAACCAAACTCACCCACTCGCCAACCAGAACAAATTAAAAAATATATTCCAGGGTATTCCATCTACACGAACATTGCACCAAACCTAAATTATACTCTTAAAATTTGTTCCTAAACACAAACCTAATCGCGCTCCTTGTTCCATCATTTTGACGTGTTTAGGGTCTAAACATGTTTAGGATTCTGTTTAACAGCTAAACATGTTAAGACCTGTGTCAACCCATATGTTTAGATTGAACACATCAAATTAAATCCGTTTAGGATTTAAAAACGTTCCCTAGCATGTTAGATCTAAACGTGTCTTTCTTAACATTCTAAATTTATTTTTACAGTGTAGAGTAGGACACTTATCATGACTGACCAACAAGAATGGCCACACATTACCTTGCTTTTCCATCCCGAGCCTCGTATTCATTCAAAACATCCCGCCATCGTCTCACAGCGCCACCTATTTCCGGCAAGTCAAATGTATAGTCGTGTCGCAATGAGTACCAGTTATCCTAAAACATGTATCACATACAAATTCACGCTCTAATCTAATGAAAATATCTGCATATATTATAATTGTTTATTAAAATAGAGAGGGGGAAAAGTTTACTATTTTGTTCTTTGTGTAATTGCAAATTGAAAGTTTTGTTAAATTTGATTATGTCTATTTAACCATCATTCAATCTGCAACAATTTGTAAAAAGTAATGTGTGGCTCGGTAATTTTGTATAAAAGTAACATTTTTTCAATGAAGACGAGGGGAAGAAATGAATTTGCAACCACATAATCCCTACTTCAGTAAACTACGATTATAACGGACTCAAAGGGATCACGAATTTTAGTTCGTTATAAGCATATATGCAGCATATATACAGCAAATGGTCCCGACAAACAAATAGGTTCGTTATATCCGTCAGTTCGTTATAAGCGTGATCGTTATAAACGTAGTTTACTGTATGTTTGAAATGTTGTAAAGTATTCTTTGAGTCCTGACTAAGCGCCAATACAGCTAATTGTTTGAATATAATAACGCTATTTTAAGATATGTTAAATTTAAAACCAAACATATGATAAAAACAACTGAGAGGTAAATGGTTTTTCCCTCCTCAATTTATATCAATTGTTCAAAGTTGCGTTAAGTAGACGTATTAAAGAAGCGCCAGTAAGTAGTCTGGGTCAAGCATCATGAAAATTGGGAACATGAACAACGTCAGGGCGGTCAAAGACCCGTGGGTAATCCGGTTAAGGATAATTGTCAGAATCAGTTTATTCTCAAAAACCACAAAAGGTGGTAAAAGACCATATTACATGTCCCCAGCAACCTTTGCTGGTAGTTGGAGACGCCTAATGGATCAGGTGGTCAGGCAAGGTAACTTGGTTGATTGCATATCATCCTGTCTCAGTTGCATAGATCGATGCTCATAATATTTATCACTAGAATGTCAGGGTGATACTCGATTAATAACAGACCGCCGTCGTACAGCTGGAATGTTGCTGCGTGCGGCCTTAAACAACAAACAGTCACGTCAAAAGGCCTGACCCCCCTATTCATTTTAGTCGTAATTGATTATTATCAATGATGCCAATGGCAAATCCAAAATATATCGCATAAACTCTGACACACCAAATTGTCTCATAATCAAGTGATAATGTCTTTTCTCGAGCTCCTTATTGACAGCACATCGTTGCACGAGAGAACCCTCGACTAGACGATATGATCTGATATGTCCACAGACTGAAGGCACGAACTAGGGTATGATGTGTTTGAGGTATTATATAATAAGCTTTTATCTGCCACCAGAGTTAATGGAGCTAAGCGTCTTTCAGATTGTATTTCTAGATCAATAATTAGGACCAGACGCCCACAAAGTATGGATCATATAAAAGATACCGAGGATAGATGAAGTATCAACTGTTTGACCGTGCTGAATAAAAAATCCATCATATCTCGATAACTCTTGATCATCAGCGGGAAACTCGTTCGGTAAGAAGTCTTTTGTCTCAAATATTCTGTATGTCTCTCACTTTATCACCTTTTCCGCGTCATTATTTCCGAAGGAGATTTGCTCATAAGGTCTCCACGTCTGAGTCTCCAGAACGAGCGTCATTTAAGTTGGGATTCCCAGTCTCATGTATGTTCTGCACGACATCCACCCACTTACCTCCTCTTAACCAGTATCTCCAGAACGAGGTCCCTTCAAGGGGAGATCGTCAGTCTCAAAGAAGTGTTGTATGACATCAACTCACCCACCTTCTCTACGTCAGAATCTCCAGAAGGAGGTTCGTTCAGAGAGAGAATCTCAGTCTCAAACATGTTCTGTATGGCATCAACTCACCCACCTTCTCTACGTAAGTATCTCAAGGAGGAGGTTCGTTCAGAGACAGATTCTCAGTCTCAAACAAGTTCTGCATGACATCAACTCACTCTCCTTCTCTACGTCAGTATCTCCAGAAAGGAGGTTCGTTCAGAGACAGATTCTCAGTCTCAAACAAGTTCTGCATGACATCAACTCACTCACCTTCTCTACGTCAGAATCTCCAGAAGGAGGTTCGTTCAGAGACAGATTCTCAGTCTCAAACAAGTTCTGCATGACATCAACTCACTCTCCTTCTCTATGTAAGTATCTCCAGAGGGAGGTTCGTTCAGAGAGAGAATCTCAGTCTCAAACATGTTCTGTATGGCATCAACTCACCCACCTTCTCTACGTAAGTATCTCAAGGAGGAGGTTCGTTCAGAGACAGATTCTCAGTCTCAAACAAGTTCTGCATGACATCAACTCACTCTCCTTCTCTACGTCAGTATCTCCAGAAAGGAGGATCGTTCAGAGACAGATTCTCAGTCTCAAACAAGTTCTGCATGACATCAACTCACCCACCTTCTCAACGTCAGTATCTCCAGAAGGAGGTTCGTTCAGAGAGAGATTCTCAGTCTCAAACAAGTTCTGTATGGCATCAACTCGGAACCCATCCACGCCTCGACTCATCCAGAACCTCAGCACATTCTGAAAGCATACCAAGCGAAGAAGGTATAGCATACCTTGATTTAACTACACCACTAATACATCTATTGCCCCTATCGAAATGTACAGGAACTGTTTCTTTCAAGAAATGGGAAATGAATTATTCACCTTCGTTACTGTATATCTAGACAATGACAGACAGTGGGGTTCAGTGTGATCACGCCTGAATATTTTTATCTTCCAAGAATGAAGGACCACCTCGTCTCTTTGTCTGAGTAATCCGTCGATCTCCTATCAAATGAACAGGCTAAGCGCCACTTTGAACAGTATTTCATACATCACGGCGTTTAAGCATGATTTAGAAGGAAAAACTTGTGATTTGACTAGTAAAACCATGACAATTTTGCAAATCGAAATGCGGAGGAAATTACAAAAAGGGCACCTTAGCTACGGTATGGTACGGGTGAGTGAGTGAGTGAGGTAGAACCCCGCTTTGAACAGTATCTCATTTATGTCACGCCGTGTCAGGTTTATGTGGGAGGAAAGCCCGACGTGATGCAGATCCTAGGTGTGTACGACTTTCGTGAATCCCGAAAGCATGGATATGGTACTGACAAACCAAGGAACAGAATAAGCCCGTACAGAAGTTGGAATTCGAACCCATGATCACAAGTTTCTGGGACTCTGAGACTTCACATTGAAATAAGTCATCGACCATTTCGCCAGCAGTTTCGATATAACATAAGGAGTGAGTGAGTGAGTATGGTTTTACGCCGCTTTTAGCAATATTCCAGCAATATCTAGGCGGGGGACACCAGACATGGGCTTCACACATTGTACCCATGTCGGGAATCAACCCGGGTCTTCGGCGTGACGAGCGAACGCTTTAACCACTAGACTACCCCACCGCCCCTATGACATAAGGACGTGAAAGGTTGATGATGATTGGATTAAGGGTCCTGTCATACATCCATCTCCTCCACCAGTTGAGCACATCTCCAGTTGAGGTCCGGCTGCTGCACCATGAAGGCGTGGTAGTACAGCTCACCTCGGACACTGTCCAGCGCCCATGCCGGACCACGGAATAGGCTCAACTGGAATAACCAAATGAATCTGATGTTTTTCATAACACAAAGGATGAAGTGGTGAGTGAGCGAGTGAGTGAGTGAGTGAGTGAGTGAGTGAGTGAGTGAGTGAGTGAGTGAGTGAGTGAGTGATATCACGGCGGGGCACACCAGATATGGGCTTCACTCATTGTCCCCAAGTGGGGAATAGAACCCGGGTCTTCGGGTTGACCAGCTAACGCTTTATACATTAGGCTACCTCACCGCCCGTATTACTGAAATAAGGTTGTATTATAAGATGATGTTGGTTGTTAAAAATACAGGCGAAAATAACAACAATCATTAAAAAACATAATATTTTACTTGAATGTGAAAAGAAGCATTGTCAAGTTGGAGCCATGGGAAGCGGTTAGAAAAAAATGCATAAAAGCATATGCAAAAATGACTCCATAAAAAAGATCACAGTAGTAATTGTTTGTTTGGTTGTTTGGTTGTTGTACGCATCAGTAAGAATATTCCAGGTACATGACGACGGACTTCATAATCGAATCTGGCCCAGGCAATCCAGTGATTGACATCATCCAAATGGAATCCGATGACAAGCATCAACCAAGTCAGCGAGCCTAACTACCCGATTCCGTTAGTCGCCTCTTATGGTGATCAATATTCTTACCCCGATTCCCACGCCTTCGGATGGCAGCTCAGCAGAAATTATGGGAACTGATCAGAAATTAATGAATATTTATCACTCGTTTTAATATGTTTGTATGAATATGGTTCAAAGATCAAACATCCACACAATATGGATAGATTTAAAAATTGTCTCTTACTTTTAACTCCCAATACAAACTCAATTATCAATACATTTGAATGGGGGGCACGGGTGGCCCAGTCATCTAAGGCGCCGCGATTCGCTGTTCAGAGTTGCGTCCCTTGGGCAAGCCAGAAACCTATGATTGTGGGTTTCACCGAACTGGTACACGTCTGATACCTGCATCACTTTCCTCCCACATTCAGCTGACACGCCGTGATATAACTGGAATACTGTATTTAAGTCTGTTAAAAGCGGCGTTAAACCCAACTCACTCACTCACTACACTCGAATGTTATTCTTCACGAGGATTTATAACGTTTTGTCTGTACCGTGTTTAATGCCGCTCAGTGCTAGCAGCAGTGATTAATATTATCATGCGGTGGGGTACCATGCCAGGCAGTCAAACAAGTCACCGAATCTGACCACCCAATCCATTCAGTCGTCTCTTTCGACAAGCACATGTTTCTGTGTGCCAGTTTGACCAGGAGTCACCATGGGGTATTATTATCAGCAACATGTTAGAGCTATCTTCCCGAGGCAAGGGCGTTAAGTGACTATAAGAGGTTCACCCTTGCTGAACTAGGCTGGAATTTCGGAGCTGGGCTAACGAGCCTGTGCATAGTCCAATCAAAATCGTGTTACGAACTAGACACCCGGTTCGTAAACAACGTGGATTTCGACGTGCAGATTTCGGTCGACTGAAGGATTTGCAAATCATGTGTACCGTCAACTCGGCGTCGAAAGATATTTGGCAAATCTTTTCAGGATTTTAATCAAGGTGCTCATGTTGTTTGATGCATTTCGCGAGGTGAGGCCCGTTTTATTATGATAAAGATTAGCCTAGGAGGGCAAGGGTGGAAACAGGACTTTTATAGTCAGTTAACGCTCTTGCGTTGGGAAGATGGTTAGAGCAGACAGTAAGAATGTGTACGTTTATATCCCGCTTTAAGCAATATTCGAGCTAAATCACGACGGGGACACGTGCCAAACTTCCTACATAGTACCCATGTGGATCGTGAATCGAACGAGGAGTTCCTGTCTGACGAGCTAACGCTTGTCCACTAGGCTACCCAACCCCCTTATGAATAGTGAGTGAGTGAGTATGGTTTTACGCCGCTTTTAGCAATATTCCAACAATATCACGGCGGGGGACACCAGAAATGGGCTTCACACACTGTACCCATGTCGGGAATCGAACCCGGGTCTTCGGCGTGACGAGCGAACGCTTTAACCACTAGGCTACCCGACCGCCCCCTTTATGAATAGTAACGTATATAGCACTATATATAACCACCTACCCAGTTGTTGGGCGGTTCTCCAGGGATTGTCCAAACGTAGTAGTCTTTGTATGGTGCCACGCCCTGTCGGCTCAGTTGAAACCATGGGTGAAGGACACTGGAGTGGTTTGGCACAAAATCCAAAATTACTTTGATCCCTACAACGTGAAACATTTAATTAATCTAATTTTTTTAAAAAGCAGCCGGCGAAAATAATTATAATAATTTTAAATAATTAATTTTGACTGTGATACGATTATGTTTGTTTGTGTCTTTGTTTAATTGGTGTCGACTGAAATAAGCAATATTTCAGCTATAGTGGCGGCCTGTAAATAATTGAGTCTGGGCCAGACAATCCGGTGATTGATATTGCGTGCGAGCAAAGTCGAGCGCAGTTGGGGTACGATGACGTTCAATCAACCAAGTCACCGAGTCTGGCCACCCGATCCATCTGGTCACCTCTTACGACCAGCATGGTTGCTGGGACCTGTTCCTACACGGAATCCCCACGAGGGTGATACGAATTTGAACACATTGATGTATTCACAACATGTAAAACATATTTACCCTTGAACTACTTTCGAGATAAAACTATGTTTAAGTTTGTTTGGGTCATTTTTCGTTTTGTTTGTTGTTTAACGCCGCACTCAGTAATATTCCAGCTATATGACGGCGGTCTGTAAAATAATTGAGTCTGGACCAGACAATCCAGTGATTGACATCGTGAGCATCGATCTACGAAATTGGGATACGATGACATGCATCAACCAAGTCAGCGAGTCTGACAACCCGATCCCGTCAGTCGCCTCTTACGACATGGATGGTCACGTTTTACGTCAAGCATGGATTGCTGAAGACCTTTTCTAACCCGGATCTTCACGGGTGAACTGTGTTAAAGTTTGCTCAGCCAACGGTTTATGTATTATTTCATAAAGTATCTTAGTGCTTGAACTTGCGATTTACGTTGGATTTGTGATGTTTATGCGAGTCGTATATTTTTTCAGAAATGACTTAATCTGTGATTTGGACACATGGCACCATTTACGATGGAAGTGAGCTTCAACTTTTGCAGTAATATTTGTTCTACATAATGACAAGGTTTATCCTTGTCCTGCTAGGTAATTGTAGCTAGGTGAGCTACAACAATTTCGCCTTTTCATTCGATGTAATCGGACACTGTGCATCCACGGCTGCACACAGTGTGTGCGTGGTTTCATCGCGTATTCCACCCCACCCCCACGATCAGTGATCTATGGTGACATTCTTGAAATATTAGCTGAGAAAACATACGTTAGGCCGATGTGAAATATATACCTTGTATATAGTGATTGTCACCAGACGACGTGAACATATAGTAGGACACCTGCCTTTGCATTTGACGAGAGGAGTGACACATTTCACCTGCACTCACTCATCATTTGAAATGAGTTAGGGGGGTTGGTTTTACAAATAACATCGTTCATGCTGGATGCCCTGAAAAAATAGGTGTTGTGGTTCGCAAATAAATGTGTTGGTTCCTACTTAGATGATAATTTGTCTCTTGATACATATAACACACTCAGACACTTACACTTGTAGATTCCGGGGTTGAATAGGTCTTCAGCAACCCCATCTCTCCATAAAAGACGACTAACGGGATCGGTGGTCAGGCTCGCTGACTTGGTTAAAGCATGTCATTGTATCCCAGTTGTGTGGATCGATGTTCGTGATGTCAATCACTGGATTGTCTGGTCCAGACTCGATTATTTACAGACCGCCGTCATATAGCTGGAATATTGCTGAGTGCGGCGTTAAACCACAAACAAACAAAACAAAACAAAGATGGTCGAACCTTAAGTATTTATGAACATTACATCGAGGATCAGTGAATGAGAACGATAGTGGTGACACTTTGGTGGCATAACTCTATTTTTCTTAAGTCGATTTTTGTATTTCAATTAGTTGCTAATGTTTTCGAAACTTCGAGTTGTTTGTCGTTATTTCAACAACAATATCTGACCGTAATAGTTCTTTGTAAACTGTACACTCATAATAATACATTTCTCATATTTATCTTTCAGTGTGGGTTAAGTCAGTGCTTGGTGGTGTCATTGGTAGAATGCACAAACTGAAAACGAGGACACAAATTTGGAATAAACCCAATCTGTCCAAGTCAGCTTTCCTCCCAGATCTGGCTGCCCTACATGGAATGTTTGTTGTTGTTCCCACTGACAAGAGTGAGTGAGTGTCTTGTGTTTAACGCCGCTTTGAACAGTATTCCAGTAACATCGCGACGTGTCAGCTTAATGTGGAAGGAAAGCTCGAAGTGAAAACCACGAGCACGGGTATGGTGCTGACAAACCTAGAAACACATCGGGGCGAACCGGGATTCGAACCCACAAACAAAGGTTTCTGGCGTGCCCAAGGGACGCAACTGTGCACAGCGAATTGCGGCGCCATAGACTGGGCCACCTGTGACTCTAAAAGTCCTTTCCTCCTGTGGACTGGATTCCAAAGTTCCATAAAGCAATACCCACAAACACAGATATAATGCTGGTTCAAGCAAATATAACACCAAAGCTATGTCTCGAATATAAACCATGATCCTGAATATAATCAATTAAATGTAAGTAATGTATATATGTTCACACAAGTTTTTGAGACAAGAGGAAATAATACCATGTGGAGTGTCAGAATCTCAAATGATTCAAATTTGCTTGAATTTTTGCAATCTCAGAAAAGAACCTAGTTCAATTATATCAAAAAAATTGATTTTTCAATTTTCGACAAACTCACGGAAAAACGTCATTCCTTGGTCTGTGGGGCATTTGTAACTAATCGTGGTGACTTAGGGTATTGATTCTCCTCTATCGTCAAAGGTTCCGGACAATTGGTCAAAAATAAAAGCAAATGAAATATGAACTCAATAAAGAAAACAATATGTGAAAAGCTGGAATTCCGCATAGATAACAGTGGCGGTGGGGTAGCCTAGTGGTTAAAGTGTTCGCTCGTCACGCCGAAGACCCGTGATCGATTCTCCACATGCGTCCAATGTGTGAAGCTCATTTCTGGTGTCCCCCGCCGTGATATTGCTGGAATATTGGTAAAAGCTGCGTAAAATCAAACTTACTCACTTATATTGTATGACATTTGTGCGAAATATCTCATACACGATAGCGCGTGTTATAAATCGATACACTATGGGACGAGGTGTCTAGTAATTAATGATAACAAGCGTGTCCTACAAGCGAGCAAACGAGGAACGAAATATCTACGCCATGATGATAAACACTGCTGCACTCGGGGATGATGATAAGATAAATATAGGTGGAGATATTAGATATTTACATACATGTCTTACAACTGGTGCAATGATATATGACTAAGTACATACTTGTGAGATTGGCCCAGGATGTTTAAATAAGGGGTGAGTGCACTTTACTTGAAATGTTTTTAGCACACGTGACTGCAAGACACTTCAGGTGCCTGGTTCGCCAGTGCACTGGGCGAAGGTGAGACGCTGAAGCAACGTATTGTATTCAATGTTTGCCTTCTGTATTCCTGGATCAGTCACACTGACCTCGGCTCCCTGAACGGCTCGAAGTACAACGATTACTGACAGTGGTATCCCTATCGGGGGAGGCAACGCAATTCGCTGTCCCACGGGCGGGCCAGAATTCACTCGTGTATTCCCCGATGTCTCAAAGGCCTGACAGGGTGCCATCGTACAGCAGTTGTTTATTCTATCAACCACATGATTTGTCGGGTTCAGACGCGATTTAATAATCGCGTCTGAACCCGACAAATCACGTGGTTATCAGAATGAGCAACGATTGTACGATTGCAACATGTCAGCCAGGTAGTACATAACCTACCGAGCCTATTTCTGGTCAACTGAAGTTTTGGTACTTGGATCTAACTGTACCCGGACATTGAAACGAAATTGTCCAAAGTGATGTAAATGTTTGTTGGTTTTCGTCGTAGTCAATGTTCCAGCATGTATCCAAGCGGCTTAGTAGAGTCAATGTGAGTCAAGTTGGTTGATATTGTGAGCACCGCCTCACGCCATAGTGCCTGACACGCAATCTACCAAGTCACTGGGTCTGACCACCCGATCCACAAAGTCGCGTCTTATGAGTGGAATGGGTTATTGGAACCTACCTATTCTAATTCCGGAATCCCATGGGGCTTTGCAGTCAGAGAAGTCTATAATGAGACATATTGGTTACACGTGGTCCAGCGTACAGCGTACAGGCAACACAATAAGGAACGTTTGTTGCGGAGAGTAGTTGGATGGATGACCGCGTGCAAGCCTCGCTTCTTAGAGGGCTCCGGTCTTGTTCCACACTAAAACACAGATTGCATGCTGTGTCTACGTAGGAAAGTGACTTATGTCCAACATATGCCTCTGTTCACCGAGCAGTGAAAGGGTACCCGGTAGGATGAGAGGAATATTCCTGTTTACCTTCTAGCGCCTGACAGACAGCTTGGATACTCCCCAGGAGCTGAGAATAAATTCAATTGCACCCAGATCCACTGACCATGGTAATGATGTGTAGTGTTTTGAGCATTCTTACATTGATGGGTTTGGCGCATATATATTATATTTATATTATATTATTGTGAGTGAGTGAGTTGGGTTTAACGCCGCATTTAACAGTATTCTAGTTATATCGCGGCGTGTGGGAGGAAAGCCCGAAGTAATGCAGGTCTCAGGGATTTACCACTTCGGGGAAACCCACGAGCACGGGTATGGTGCTGACAAACCTAGAAACATTATTGGGGCGAACCGGGATTCGAACCCATAATCATAGGTTTCTGGTGTGCCCAAGGGACGCAACACTGCACAGCGAATAGCGGCGCCTTAGACGGTTGGGCCACCCGTGCCCCCTTATATTATTGTGAACAGCACCAATGTTATCTGTTATAACATGTTATCATTTGGGTTGATTTGATAAGTTTTTGTTGGAGAGGATGAATGTCGTTCAACGCCAGCCAATCATTTCAATGACTGGCTTCACTGTGGAAGAAAAATAAAAAAAACATTGTTATCAAGATTGTATTCGCTCAGCTTATCCTACCCCTACAAGGGACGCAATTGGGATTATTGCACGTTACAAAGCCGCACATATCGTATAACCACGAGTGAGACTGGGTGACTTGCGGTCTAACATCGCGTTTACCATTGGTACATAGCAAGGTACTATTTCTATGTCAGTTCATGGACATTGATAGACTGGGTTCCTGTCTACACTAGCGAGTAAGATAGGTTGTGGCCGATTTCTTGTTGGCTGCGCTTGGAGGAATTTTAGGCACCATCCATTCTGACCTGCTTCTGAATTTATCTCTCTTGTTTGCCCAACTGATTTCTTTACTTTATATGCAACCGAGATTTTGTCTGGGAACTTCTCAGGTGTAAACAGACCTCTTTGAATTCTGCAATTCTTAATAGCAATGGAAAAGCACAATGGGAAATGGTCTTGATTTGTACCACTTATTTTGGTCGCCGCCAGTTGGCCAAACGCGCCAAGCTTGGTGCGCGATCCAAATGTGGAACCAGTTAAGGAAGTTTACCAACGTTGTGTGATGCACCAAGGTCATAATCGGTTTCGATTATGTTAAATCTATCCCTACCAACTACAGTGAGTGAGTGAGTTTGGTCTTACGCCGCTTTGTTTAATATCATGGCGTAGATATTTCGTTCCTCGTTTGCTCGCTTGTAGGACACGCTTGTTATCGTTGAATACTAGACACCTCGCCCCCGTTGTGTATCGATGCATAATGAACACGCTATCGTGTATGTCGCACAAATGTAATACAATATGAGTAAGTAAGTTTAATTTTACCACGCTTTTAGCAATATTCCAGCAATATCACGGCGGGGGACACCAGAAATGGGCTTCACACATTGTACCCATGTCGGGAATCGAACCCGGGTCTTCGGCATGACGGGCGAACACTTTAACCACTAGGCTACCCGACCGCCCCCTACCAACTACAGACATAATCCGTTCAATCCGTTACATCCGTACCATAGCTTATAATATGTGTGAACTGATGAGACGTCGGTGGCTCTTACTTATATAGATATTTCCTAATCCAACCACCGACCACCCCACCCAGAAGAAAGGAGAAATACAGTGGGTTGGTTGGCGGATTAGTGTCACGAGCATTGGTCAAGCTTTGGGGCCGATGGATTTATTATAAGGAAGAGTGAGTGAGGTTGATTAACATTGCTTTCAACAGTATTTCACTTTGATGTAGGGGGAAGCCCATTGTGATCCAGGGCGTTAACCGTTTTGGTGAAACCCACGTCACATTGATTGTAACATAGTCAGGGTTAACATGAATTATAACCTACGATCACAGGTTTAAGGCATGCTTAAGTGTACAGGTGCCTTAGACGACTGGGCCACCCTCATTATAAGGAATATTATACATCAAGTCTCGGATGACGAAGTGTCCAACGTTTACCTCTATCATGTGCTGCTGAAATCAGATTGTCGAAATCTTCCAGGTTTCCGAAAGTCGGGTCAATATCAGTGTAGTTTGAAATATCGTAGCCGAAGTCACGCATTGGAGACCGGAAGATAGGACTCAGCCATATTGCTCGTACGCTAAGAGACCGGATGTAGTCCAAACGTTGTATGATGCCTGTGGAGATAACAGTTGAAAGCTTACCTGTGACATTTAGGAAATATCACTCATTATATATAAAGGAAATGACATTCGTGGTGCAATACATGTGTGAGGTGAGGTGAAATGGGGTTTAACGTCGCGTCCAAGAATAGTGCACTTATATAGCGACGTGCATGCGACGTGTGTGTGGCTGCTTGTACTAGTCCGGACTGATGCCGATTTATAGTGCTAGCTCATTGAGATACCATGCCGCAGTTTAACATGAATACCCCACTCAGACACAGTATACTGACTCCGAGCCGACCAGTCCTTGTTTTAACCCCTTAATGCCGAGCGCCAGACAGGGTAACAACAAGTACCATCTTTTAACGTCTTTTGGTATGACGCGGCCGGGGATCGAACCACTAGACCACGGAGGCGGTCCCTGCAATACATGTAATAGGCTTACATTATCGTGTTATTTTTGGATACACGGGGGGGGGGGGGGGGGGGGGGCTTCTATGCACAAGTCTTAACAATAAGTTGTAACATTGGGGTACTGATAAGAATCTTAACACTAGTGTGGCGTAATTAGGTCACACGGGGGACACCACAAATGGGCTTCACACATTGTACCCACGTCGGGAATCGAACCCGCTTTAACCACTAGGCTACCCGACCGCCCCCTATGTAACGTGATGGGAGATGAAATAGGGTTAAACGCTGGGTTCAAGATTACTGCACTTACGTTGCGACCTATATTCTGACCGGGCTAGGCAAGTTCACCATATTGACATTCCAGATCAGTGGAAGGTCCTTGTGCAGCATGCTTAAGAGCCGGTGTATAAATGCACACCCATGAACTCCAGCCCTGGTGAATCGGGCCGGTACAGTGTCTTTACTTACAGTTGATAAAAAACATTATCAAAATCTATGTAAAACTAACTGACTTTATTTACCTCAAAAGATTAACATAAACATAGGGATTGCGGGACGCAATGGTAAATGTAAATAGGCTTTTGATCTCAACACTGATCTGGTTGTGTGATGTTGTCCCAAAGTTTGTTGCTTCTTGATTTCGCTTTATTGAGCCTCATGAAGAAGGAATTGCGTAATAGTCCAATGAGCAACAAATGAGTCAAAAGAGGCAATAAATAAGCCAGGTCTGCGACCTTTGGAAAATAGACAAAATTGGGAAGGATGACCCTTCCTACACCACTTTGTGGTGACCTTCAGAATTGAAGCGTGGCAGGGCGATCCTTGAAGACGACCGTTCTCGAAGACCAGTCACGTCAGCAACACCAGGATGATCCAGAGAATTCACAAGATGGTTATGACCGACCGGGCAATGACTGAGCGTCATATTGCTTCTTTAGTAGTTCAGCCAACAACGCTAAACTCATCAAGAGGTTCCACTGTATGGTGATGACCAGCCGGACAATGACTGGGCGTCATATTGCTAGTTCCCAAGACAGAGTACACTCCATTACCACAGAAACTTTGGCAACGAAGAAAGTATCAGCTCATAGGGCTCCAAATCTTCTGACATCTCATGAAAACGCACCATTCAAAACATCTTGTGATAATCTAGCTCTGTTTGAAGCTGGTCGCCTTTTGCATCAACGTGTAACTGTTCGTCACTTCCCGAAAAATCCAAACAGGGGAAGCACTTGGAATCACCACAACCAAAGAAGGAAAAGACTTCCCTCGAACTCGAACGCTTATAGCATCCTTGTTCTGGGAAGCCGAGGGTGTCACCATGGTGGGCTATCTTCCAAAAGGCTTGACAATAAACGGAACATATGTATGCTGCACTTTTTGAGTGGATTATTGAATGAAATTAAGAATACGAGACGTGACAAACTGGGAAACTTGCTACTCATCAGGGCAATGCACAAGTGCACAAATCAGTCGTTATGGTGGATACAATCCACCAATGTGGCTTTGAATTCCATAGGTACCCGCTTTATACTCCTGATCTGGCTTCGGTAGATTTTTATCTGTTCCCAACCATGAAAAAAACACAAGCCGGAACCCATTTCTACAGCAAAGAGAAGGGCTTCTGTGAAACTGGGATAAAAACCCTCCAACATCTTCGGCAAAAGTGTATCAATGTGGAAGATGATAAAGTTGAACAATAAATCGTTTTATTGTCTTAACGACGAGTATTTCCATGTGAGGCTCGTGACCGCCTCCGTGGTCTAGTGGTAGATCGGAAGTTCGATCACAGGTCGCGTTATAACAAAAGAGTGAGTGAGTGAGTTTAACGCCGCTTTGAACTATATCTCGGCGTGTCGGCTTAATGTGGGAGGTAAGCCCGAAGGACGTCTCAGACGTTTACCACTTCGGTGAAACCCGCGAGCACGGCGATTGTGCTGACAAACCTAGAAACATAATTGGGGCGAACCGGGATTCGAACCCACAATCATAGGTTTCTGGCGTGCCCAAGGGTCGCAACTCTACACAGCGAATCACGACGACTGGGCCACCCTTGCCCCCGTTATAACAAAAGACGTTAAAAGATGATACTTGTTGTTACTCGGCGTTAAGGAGCTACAAAAAGGAGTGGTCGGCTCGGAGTCAGTATGTCAGTCAGGGATGACCCCGCATCAATTAAATAATGCAAACTCACTAGTCTTGATTTAACAGCCTTTGTTTTATTGTCGCATCCTTAAAATCCTCATTGCGACAATCAAATCTGACAAATAGTTTTCGTACTATCATGGACTTCAATGTAATAAGACCGCCTCAGTGGTCTAGTGGCAGAGCGTCCGCCCGGAGAGAGGAAGGTCCGGGGTTCGATACCCGACCGCGTCATACCAAAAGACGTTAAAAGATGATACTTGTTGTTACCCTGTCTGGCGCTCGGCCTTAAGGGGCCAAAACAAGGACTGGTCGGTTCGGAGTCATTATACTGTGTCTGAGTGAGGTATTCATGTTAAACTGCGGCATGGTATCTCAATGAGCTAGCACTATAAATCGGCATCAGTCCGGACTTGTACAAGCAGCCACACAAACACACACACGTACATGCACGTCGCTATATAAGTGCAATAATCTTGGACGCGACGTTAAACCCCATTTCACCTCACCTCACCTCAATTTTATAAAGTCGGAGATAGGCCTACATTCACACTACACAGGCATCCTTTTCAACAGAGTTTTACCACGGATGTACAGTATAAGTTTTATACACCGGCGTCATTACCCAAAAGTGAAGAAGAGCAGAAGAGAGGTACAGAATGAAACAACCGATTTTAAATGTTACTCTTTATATATTTCAATATAATAAGACAATAATTACAAACATACCAAATGCAAATCTACCCAAATATATATGAATATACATACCATTCATCATAGTTTTGTGACCGCCCATTAATGAGGAAATGCTTTACATTGTTTTTATTAATACGTATGTACTAGTCAATATTTTGTATATATATATATGCCCTGTAATTCATTCGAAGCTGACGATATCTCACCTAGCAGGTTTTTGATAACACAATTATTTCTGGTAGATAGAAGACTGAATTTTTGGACAGATGGTTGCACATGGTAACATTTTGGAATTAAATTTTCTCTACTACTTTTATAAAAAGGACAAAATAACAAAAAAAATGGTATTCAGTTTCTATTTCATAGCGGTTACATTTCATACATAAACTGGACGATTTAGATCTGTACATTTAGATTATGGTTCAACAACGGAATTTTTCTGGTTCGAGTAGTGATTTAAAATTGGAATAAACATCAAGGGAAGAAGAATTTGTGATTTTGTAATGCCAGTTTTGGTATTCTATATCTTTACATCGTTGTTTGAATGTAACCATGAAAATCTAAACATACATATTTCTTTCTCTTGGCACATAAACATTCAGAGTCAAACCATGGAGGTTGTCTTACTCTATCAAATGATCTATTTATATTTATAGCTTTAAAGTGATCGCCAGCATATTGGAGTAATAGCAGTCGCTGCATTTATATTCGTATGTGCAACATCAAGAAAATCATTAACTATAAGTGATCGCCAGCATATTGGAGTAATAGCAGTCGCTGCATTTATATTCGTATGTGCAACATCAAGAAATCATTAACTATAAGTGATCGCCAGCATATTGGAGTAATAGCAGTCGCTGCATTTATATTCGTATGTGCAACATCAAGAAAATCATGAACTATATGACTGCCCATATGAGAGTTTAATCGACTTTTAAACTCTTCGTTACCGTTATCATGCCATTTGTTTCGGAATCAAGATCAGACTGCCTGTGCTATGGCGCACTATGGGAAATACATGGAAGTTTTAGCTGACATGAAACTGGTAGATGATCAGAATCCGGTCTAGAGTGAACAGCTAGATCTATGATATATTGGAACATGTTTGATGATGCGATAAAGTAGTCTACCAAGTGAGTACCCCTATTACTGACACATGTAAAACGTCCATCTTTGTAAGTAACTGATCTCCCATTGACAATATGTATACAGAAGCTGTTACATAATTCGAGAAGTAACAACCCATAGCTGTTTACAATACTGTCTTGTTGTAGACCTTTGTAGAAGGCTAATTAACATTACTTCCGAAAAAAACATGTATTGTTTTCCCTGCCTGTAAACTACCTTAGCGGCCATTGTATAGACATCCACACTATGTAATTAAGGAAGAGTCCACTAATGCCTACAGTGACAAATGCCTACAGTCTAAAACAAACATTTTATATGCTTCAGTGGTTTTACATGTGATACCCTACTACCTCTCTGCAGAGTTTAACTGGCCCATTTTAGTATACTATTGCCTACAGTGACAAATGACAAACACTAGCAAATGATATTTAGTGTTTTTTCTTTATTCATACATTTCTTCTGATATTTCATACATCATACATCATCCATAGTTTCATTTATCATATTTCATGTACATTATGATTCAAACATCACATTCACACTCCCATTTTATCACACATCTTACATTATCCATATATACATTTCATTCAGTTTCATTTATCATATTCCATGTACATTATATCTATATCAGACTTACATTCATCATGTATCATCTCATACATCATCCATATGTATCATTCATTTTCATTTATCATATTTCATGTGTCACAGAGTTGCACAAACTAGTTGCTTTGTTAGCCCAGTTTTACAACACATCCAGCTGCATCAAGGAACTGGGGGAGACTTGATACCCAGTCGAAGCTGCTCCTGTAGCCTTTCTAGTCTCTGGTTGATCTCTAGGTAGATTCTCTTGAGGGGTGGTGGACGGGCGCCATGGAGGTACTGAGCAAGCTTGTTTCTTTCCGTCTTCTCTAGTCTCTGGATCACTTTGATAATCACTTTGATGAAGGCAGCTGTAGAGTGTCTATCTCTTGGAGAAGGTGAAGGCGGTCACTGGTGACAAAACACAGAATCTTGTCTTCATCTCCGTCATCTATACAGAGAAAGGGCTCTCCATCGGTTGTCTGCTTGTAGATATCAGGAAGATCTACTTCACTCAGGGACTGTGGAAGTGGGGGAATCGTCTTTCTTCTCTGTTTGTATAGGCCACTCTTCTTGCTGTGGTAAGCCGGGAAGACAGCAACATCCTGAACGTCGAGTCGGGCAACTTCCTCGTCGTAAATCATCTGGATGGGAGTTGTCTCTGTTTGAACTCTCTGTCGAAGTGTGCTTACAGTCTGCAATGCTACAAGGTCGTCTGGTTGATGGTTATGAGGTGACTGATTCCTCACAAACTGGCCAACTGTTGTGCATTTCCCTAAGCACCCACGTTGTACACATTTCCAGTGCACACATGTTAGCCTACGGTTGTTAAATCTGTACCTGTAGCCATCTAGTAGGACTTGCTGACCACCTTTTTGTGACATATGATACTGGATCTAACATGCCAATCTTACTTACTTACTTACTTTGGAGATTTAACGTGCGCTTTCCGACTGATGCGTATATCGCACACGGGCCCGGCCAGGCCATTTAATGTGTTTCCGGAGGGGCGAAAGTGGTGTGTGCAACCCAAGAGGGGGCTTTAGGGGTTGCTTAATATATAGAATTTTGGAATTTTGAGATTTGGAATAGATGCCGATGGGGTTGGGGAGGAGAACTAAGGGAGCCTGGTATGGTGGATGTTTGTTTGTTTATGTGATTTTGATTTGGTAGATTATTGTGTTTTTAGATGCGTTTTATTAGTTCCGTTTTGATTAAGAATACGCCTAAGGCCTTGAAGTTTTCTAGTTTATTTTGTGGGTTTAGTATTGCTTCTAGAGTGAGAGCCTTGTTTAGATTGAGGTTGGTTTGTAATACGGTTCGATGTGTTAGGTAGTGTGTGCGGTGGATGAATGTCATCGCAATTGTGACTTCGAATGAGTTCACGTACTAATATCCCAGATGGCTTTAGTGAGGGATTTTTTCGAGCTAGGGCTTCATCTCGAGTGTTTTTGTCTTGCCATATCTTTTTAACCAAAGGGTTTGATGTTTTGAAGTCACTACAAAGGGTTACAACCTCCCTGGACTTTAAAAACTCCAAAAGTTGACACTGCTTTAACATCAGAAGTCAATAAAAGAGAAAACCCAACCCTTCTATGATCAGTAGCTATCACTAACATTCAAACTACCTGGGACAGTTGGGCCCATATATACATTGATGGATCCAAGAATCCTATCAACAACAGTGCTAGTTACGGCTTCAATATCCACAGCTCCAAACCCCAAGCACATTCAGTTCGATTGCCTGATGGTCAGTCAGTATTCACGGCTGAATTGGAGGCAGTTCATCATGCACTCACACTCATACCGGAACTTCCGGAAGCAAAGGCAGTCGTCCTATTCGACTCGCTAAGTGCACTTCAGGCCACCAGTGGCAGAAACTCCAGGCCAAACACAGTCAACAATATTCTATACGAATATACAAAACTATCGGACCAAGGGCAACAGGTGGAGCTGTGTTGGATCCCCTCTCACATAGATATTTATGGAAATGAAAAAGCAGACTCACTGGCGAAGCTAGCTCTAGACAAAGCGGATATACAGCCTATTCCCTTTATCAAACTAGAGTACAAAAGCAAAATCAAAGCCTCCATAGCAGAAAGATGGCAAGCCCAACGGGACGCAAGTAGGATCGGTAGATGGCTATACAAAATTCAACCCAAGGTCCAACAAAAGCCAAACTCATACTCAAATGAAAGGAAAATTGAAATTGCTATCTCACGCCTCAGACTCGGTCACAAAAAGCACTATGACAAGGTTTGTTCATCTTGCAATCAGGCTGAAACCATTGCTCACGTGTTACTAGAATGTCAAGACCATGCCCCAGCCCGGGCTAGGTTAAAACAAGAATTGCAGTTAGATCCGCTATCTGTCATAGATCTCCTAAAGCCAAGAGATGCAATGGCGAAGGCCAAACTAACTCTATTTCTGAGAGATGGACAGCTACTCGAACGAATATAAACAGAGCAACCAAGGATAAAAATGAAATCATATCAATATAAGAAAAAAGAAATCATATCAATACAAAAAACAGAAATTATGTGAATACCAAACTCACAATAGATACTAGTATGTGTACCCTACTCACACACAGGAGTCCAAAGAGGGACAGGTCAGCCGAAATTGCTTAGGCAGAAGGCGACCTCTTAAACACTTAATGCAACAACAACATCTATTTTTCTGATCACCGAGTCAAGGACCTCTACATGCTATTCAAGGTAAGCTTGTAAAACTCTTGTGAAATAATATCATGAAGAGAATTTATGGATGTCAACTTCTATTTATGAGAAACACAACGGTTCTGAGTACATGCTTACTCCTTCACGAGAGAAATCTACTATTTATGAGCAGAAAGTGGCAAATATCATGCATATACTAGTATTATATTTCTGGTTAATCTCGTGCATAATATCTATAGTCATGAATACTTGTGCATTTATAGCACTCATGCATGATTGATTATATGCTGATAGAGAGCTGATACATATAATTGGTTCAACTGCAAATGTCATGACTACCTTTGGTGTATATCTGAGATATGAATAAAGTAATTGTATGGATGGTTCCTGGATGATTTTAACCAACGTACTATGTTATACCCAAATAATTAGATATTATAATAATTGGTCCAGACTCGATTATTAACATACCGCCGTCATATAGCTGGAATATTGCTGGGTGCGGCGTTAAACAACAAACAAACAATCAAATCATAGAAACATCGAGAAACTCCAACCCAAACGTATTCAGAACGTTATGCATTAGTTTAAATAACTAGTTATGATAGCAATTATTGCTCCTAGCCTCTGTCGTATCAGGATTGAGTGATTGAATCTGTTGAGATGTACCCACCTCTTATGTCACCCACACCGTCTCCATCCGAGTCCTGGTAGGACCGTGGGTAGATCTGGTATATGATGGTTGTCTGCCACCATGACAGAGTAGGCGGGGGGTCTTCCGCAACCCTCCCGTCCCAGAGGAAGACCCGCACCAGGACAGCGAGGAGAACCAGCAGCAAGACAACTATCTTCTTTCGGTGGTAATACGCCATGTCACTCGGTGCTGGTTGTCTGGTAGAGCCTGCATCATGACTGCCAACGTAGAAAAAACAAATATCATTGGAATACATTTGTCTATTGTATGTTATCCTTCTAAAAATATATACCAACATGCAATTAGGTGATTCTTTCAAATATTTATTTTGGATCGTGTTTCTGTTTATTTCTCTGACGTGACATATGTGATGTCCTCATTTCTTTGAATTGTAGCTGCAGATGGCACTTTTAATGAGATCGTGCACAGCTGTTTCAATTATTGAATGTAAACTTCCTGTTTTTCGATGCCTGATGCGTTTCATTTACTATCAGCGCCTTTCATTTGCTGAAAGTCCCACGTGGTCCAGTCAGAATCAATTTACACATTTTTTAGTAGTAATATGGACGGTTTTTATCGGTTCTTTATCACCTCTAATCAATCATGGTCGCACAGAAAATCAGCCTGAAATGATCCAGATATAGATCAATTTTATATTTCTTTTCGTCATCGACCGCCTCCGTGGTCTAGTGGTAGAGCGTCCGCCCGGAGAGAGGAAGGTCCGGGGTTCGATCCCCGACCGTGTCATACCAAAAGACGTTAAAAGATGGTACTTGTTGTTACCCTGTCTGGCGCTCGGCATTAAAGGGCTAAAACAAGGACTGGTCGGCTCGGAGTCAGTATACTGTGTCTGAGTGGGGTTTTCATGTTACGGCATGGTATCTCAGTGTGCTAGCACTATAAATCGGCATCAGTCCGGACTAGTACAAGCAGCCACACACACGTACATGCACGTCGCTATATAAGACTTAGTGCAAAAATCTTGTACGCGACGTTAAACCCCATTTCACCTCACCTCTTTTCGTCATCACACATCCTAAAACGTCTTTTGATAACGCGAACGATGTTTTTGCCTCGAATGACCCCGAAACGCAGGTAACGTAAGCGAGACTCAGAATGTTTCGCATATGATAGTAACACTTCAAAATCGAAGACCGAAAATGGCAGACATTTTCTTGGTGATTACTCCTGAATGGTTTCAGCATAACTCAAAAACAAATTACATGCCAGCTTTGTATAAATCATGTGAAATCGATTTCAATGACAGAGTTAAATTCTAATTTGAGAACGAGTACCTTGAAGAGACGCGCTAACGGCAGTGATCACAAACAAGTTGTTTGGACTAAATATTTGAAGTCGGACGTCGTTGCGCAGTACATAACATTACATCTGAGAGAGATGCTATTCTACATCAATAGCCTGCGTATCGGGTTTTAAGTTTTATTTGATCTCTCGGAATGTGGCCCCAAATGGTTTGAGTGAGTGAGTTGGGTTTAACGCCCCTTTTAACAGTATTCCAGTTACATCACGGCGTGTCAGCTTTATGTGGGAGGAAAGTCCAAAGTGATGCAGGTATCAGACGTTTACCACTTCGGTGACACCCACGAGCACTGCATGGTGCCGATAAACCTAGAAACATAATCGGGACGAACTGGGATTCGAACCCACGATCATAAGTTTCTGGCGGTTCCAAGGGACGCAACTCTGCACAGCGAATCGCGGCGCCTTAGTTGACTGTGACACGCACACCCGGGGATACGGATGGCCTTGTCGTCTAAGACGCCGCAAATGCGTTATACAGAGTTGCGTCCCTTGGACAAATCAGAAACCTATGATCGTGGGTTCGAATCCCGGTTCGCCCTGTTTCGGCTTATCGGCACCATATTTGTGCTTGTGGGTTTCACGGAAGTGGTTAACCTGCATCACTTCGAGCGTTCCTCCCACATTAAGTTGACAAGTCCTGATATAACTGTTAGACACTGCATTAAACCAGAGTACAGAATACAAAGCCACATTCAAATATCCGCGTTAACAAACACGCCATGCCTCAGTTACTTCAGAGATTTTGTTGAAAATGATTAAAGAAAAAAACGTAGGTTTCAATTTAAAAGTTAATATGCTGCGAACACTTAGTAACCAGAGCTGACATAAAGAAAGAAGGCAGCCGTTCTTCAGTTGGGTGTTCGAGTGTGAAGGTGCTACGTCTGAATCTTGAGGTCATTCTTTCATAGTATAGGGGGAGTTCAGATGATAATAAGTATGTCCCAACATTGACTACGGAATTGAATTTTGTTTGTTTCTTTTGTTTTGTTTGTTGTTTAAAGCCGCACTCAGCAATATTCCAGCTATATGACGGCGGTCTGTAATTAATCGAGTCTGGACCACACAATCCAGTGATTGACATCATAAGCATCGATCCACGCAATTGGGATACGATGACATGAATCAACCAAGTCAGCGAGGCTGACAACCCGATCCCGTTAGTCGCCTCTTATGACAAGCACAGTCGCCATTTATTGCAAGAATGGGTTGCTGAAGACCTATTCTACCCCGAATCTTCACGGGTCCGATGTTTTATGAACACATAAGTTTGCAAATAAAATGGGTTGCTTTTTAAAATGCAACCCGCTAACCCGCCCCAAAATAACAGCTCGTGTGGTATGCGCCATACAATCGGCACGTGTTACTCAAACAGTCTTCACCCGCACCTTCTTTACCTGCGTCCATAGCCCATTGTCCGTAGCTTGAAGGTCGTTCAAAACAGGCGGTGGGAGCAGCTTTTTGTATCATGATATATGAGCATCGATCCACGCAATTGGGAATTGTATTATGAGTAGTATTGACATTGAGGTGAAGTTTCGAGGGATAGATGCCAGTTTTGATAGAGACAGTAGTATACTCAAAGCCAAGCCCTCATTGGAAGTCTTATGCCGGTTGTTGTTGTTTTATCACTGTCATCCAGTGACTTGAGCATAATATATGCACATATATTTAGAGAGAGAGGTATAGAGGAAATAACATATATTATAAAGCAGTATGGGGGTGGGGCGCTAGGGCTAAGCGTTCGCCCCCCCCCCCCCCCCCCCAAACCAGTCACTCCAGTGAACTAATTGAATTACAACCCATAAGGAATACAGGCGTGATTCGGCCGCATATACGTTCCACCAAATCAGAGCTAACACCACCCACCCTACCCCCTCTTGCCTTGGATATAAAGATAAACGCCCCAGCGTATACAGTGTACTGAATGAATTACAACGTACAAGAAATGCACGTGTGATTCAACACCATAGGGGCTGCAAATACGTGGCACCGATCAGAACCACCACAGGTAACGATCCTTCGACTGGGCGTTATGACAGCGCCCAAAGAAAACAATACATTAAACACTCAATATTCCTAACACACAGACAGTTCAACTGTGAATGAAATGAAATAACCACGAACACCACGTACTTACCTAGCGTTCTTCCCCCTTCCTCCTCTGTGCCTCATGGCCGTCCCCATCTATCCTATGACAAGTCACGTCGGGAGTCACCCACATTCGTAACACAAATCCTATATTACTTCTACCTTAAAGGAGGCCATGCTCAGAGAAGAGCCGTGGCTGGCTTTTCAAAAGGCGGTAACCGTTCATCTCCTACACAGATTGAATCAACACAAATTGTTAGCGCATGTAGGTTATGCAACTTAATTAATTGAACAAAATACTTGAAGCGGAAATACTGGCCGTGTCTCGGTACATCTGCCTTATTTGTGTCAGACTAACAGATAACGCAGTGATCATTGCTGATGTGGGTTTAACGTCGCGTCCAAGATAGTGCACTTATATAGCGACGTGCATGTGTGTGTGTGTGTGTGTGTGTGTGTGTGTGTGGCAGCTTGTACTTGTCCGGACTGATGTCGATTTATAGTGCTAGCACACTGAGATACCATGGCGCAGTTTAACATGAATAACCCACTCAGACACAGTATACTGACTTCGAGAAGACCAGTCCTTGTTTTAACCCCTTAATGACGAGCGCCAGACAGGGTAACAACTAGTACCATCTTTTAACGTCTTTTAATATGACGCGGCCAGGGATCGAGCCCGGACCTACCACTCTCCGGGCGGACGCTCTACCACTAGACCACGGAGGCGGTCAAATGTAATGAATATACGACTATGTAAATGTCATCGACCACAGTGACTACTCCTACGTACATAATCAACTGTTCTATCATAAAAGATCTCTGCTGGTATGATTTGCTTGTTTGTTTGTTTGTTTTTGTTGTTTAAAGCCGCAGTTAGCGACATTCTAGCTATATGACAGCGGTCTGTAAATAATCGGGTCTGATCATCACGGGTGTATGGTTTTGTAGCCACTGCACAGCTAGATTTGGGGGATGGTCTGATGATTGTTCGCATCAATCTCATTCCTCATGATATCAATCACTGGATTGTCTGGTCCAGACTCGATTATTTACAGACGGCCGTCATATAGCTGGAATATTGCTAAGTGCGGCATTAAACAACAAACAAATATATTGGACGTCTTGGGCTTTGCGTGTATTTTTAATTATATTATCATGTACAGGCTAAAATTGAAAATACAGCAAAGAGGGTTTGGGTGATCCTGTCACAGTCAGGCTGGTTAGGCTCGGGGCCCTTGCCCCCTCTACACGCAGCCCAGACAGCGAAAGGGACTTCTAGGGAAGCGCTGCCTGGTCAAACACACCCAGAACTTTTCGTAGAATGTGAAGACTCCTCAACACTGCAGCCTTCTGCATTACCCAGATTGTCAGAAGGCCTGTATCCCTCATAGCCAACCCGGGTACTATCCCAATGTCAGTCAATAGATTGGGAGGTGCCAAACCTAAGGCACCGAGAACAATAGGGAGTCGGAAAACTTGGTACTTGGGATGCATTTCGAAAGCGAGGTCCGCATATTTGCCATGTTTTTCCTGAATCTTGTCAATCACACTAGCGTCAAAAGGGACAGAAAATTCAACAATATAATGATTTCATTGTATTTATCAAAAAGGACAAGATCAGGTTTGTTGGCCTTGGTAGGTAGAATTTTGTAGTTATTATTTTCCATGACGCCCTCTACTTATTCTGGGTCTTACCGTGGATTTACATCTGTCTCAAGACCACAAGCATGGCGAAGACGGTAATTAAATTTTCGAGCCAATCCATTATGTCGCTTAAGATACTGTGTTTGTGCCAAAGCTGGGCATCCAATGACAATGTGTTGGACAGTCTCATTAAATTCATTACATAATCTACATTTCATATTTACATTTTGATGCAAAATCACACATTGACTTTTTAGATGGGAAGTGACTGGTCCTAGGCAGCAAACAGAAAGCCTTCTGTTTCATTTTTCATGCCAGCCCACCTCATCCAAGCGAAGGCCTCTGCGGGGTTGCCGATCCGCTCAACACACTGCACATAATGCAGTGGTCGTTCAGATGGCCTCTCCTTGAGTCCGGGCCGATTTGATACGGCACCTCGATTGGCTGACACTCATTTCTGTACCGTCCAGCAGTACAGAACCATCAACAAAATCAACACTCACATTGAGATGATGTCCCACATCCTTGGCTCGTTAAAGAAAATAGAATGCTTTGTTTTCATCATGAGTCTTGACATGCTTCACAAGGGGATCATCAGACAAATAAATGTGTGCAAAAGTGCACAATACAATTCTTTCATGAAGAGCCTCCACGTTAATTAAACCACGCCCTCCCATAATGATTTGTAAATATAATGGAGTAGTAGTAGTAGTAGTGGTAGTAGTAGTAGTAGTAGTAGTAGTAGTAGTAGTAGTAGTAGTAGTTCGTTTGTTTGTTGTTTAACGCCGCACTCAGCAATATTCCAGCTATATGACGGCGGTCTGTAAATAATCGAGTTAGAACCAGACAATCCAGTGATTTACATCATGAGCATCGATCCACGCAATTGGGATACGATGACATGCATCAACCAAGTCAGCGAGCCTGATCACCCGATCTCGTTAGTCGCTTCTTACGGCAAGCATGAGTTGCTGAAGAGATATTCTACCCCGGATCTTCACAGGTAAGTGGTGAGGTGAAATTGGGTTTAACGTCGCGTCCAAGATTATTGCACTTATATAGCGACGTGCATGCACGTGTGTGTGTGGCTGCTTGTACTAGTCCGGACTGATGCCGATTTATAGTGCTAGCACACTGAGATACCATGCCGCTGTTTAACATGAGCGTAGTAGTCGGCCGGACAACTCACCATCAATTTTGAAATGTTTAATATATACATGTGTTACAATGTTTCATAGAAGACATTAATTGTGGAGCATGGTCTCCTTTAAGACACTAAAAGACACACTGATTAATACATTTATTAGCTTCTTTGCTTCTTAAGTAAAGTAACTAATAGTTTTAAGAGTACTTTTGCACTTAAAGAATTTTACAAGTTCACTCTTCTCCTCACTAAATACTGTTTAACCATTTGACAAGCTCTTTGAACACGACCCCAGACCTCTTCATCTGCATGGGGTGACCAGGAACTTAGAGTGACATAGGTGCCGAGAAGTAGAGTAATAGAAGAATGGTTAGTCGGCAATAGGATTTGTATGCACTGCGTCCCCTATCTATCAACCGTGAATACATGCGAGAGCTTTGTGTTCATAATCCGCATTTTTAACAAACAAAGCACTGGATTGACTGCACCGACAGGGACGTTAGTGCGTGTTCAGGCCGATGAGAACGTTAGTAAAACATCCACCAAAAACATGTGCCAAGCCTTGCGGCAATCTGTTCTTTGTTTGTGAATTTATTGTTTAACGCCGCACCCGGCAATTTTCCAGCTATATGACGGCGGTCTGTAAATAATCGCGTCTGGACCAGACTATCAAGTGATTGATATCATGAACATCGATCTTCGCAGTTGGGATACGATGACATGCATCAACCAAGTCAGCGAGCCTGACAATCTCCTGGGTGCCGTTGTACAAAACGATCTTAGCGCTAAGGTGATCGTAACTCCCATACCTTAACATGTGTGACGACAGTTTTTGTGCTAAGGTTGCTTTCTACAACGGCACCCTGGATTGTGAGACGTTAAAACCACATTTCACCTCACCTCTTAATTCAGGTGAACTACATCTGGAGCCGTGGTTTTTTTATTATAAATTCTTTCTTCCTATGTTTGGGTATCTTAATCATTTCAAAAAATTACTTGCGGTTGAAGTGTTAGGTCTGTAACAATAGCTGACTATCGGTCAATGCCGTGGATGCCGTGTCAATACGGTCACAAGCTACATGGGTAATGTACGGTAGAGAGTTACTGTGTATGTGGTAAATGACACTAAAGATTTTACGATAGCCTACATAACATAACTAGATTCTCAACTCGCATTCCCATGTTTACGTCACGGTCAACAATCTCAATCCATGAGATAGGTCTTCAGCAACCCATGCTTGCCGTAAAAGGCGACTATGCTTGTCGTAAGAGGCGACTAACGGGATCGGGTGGTCAGGCTCGCTGACTTGGTTTGATGCATGTCAAAAGACGTTGAAGGAAGGTGCTGCGCACCGCTCGGCATTAAGGGTTTTATTCAGGTGTATACTGTGTACGAGTGGGGTGTTCTTGTTGAACTACGGCACGGTATTTTAGTGTGCTAGCACCATAAAACACACACACACAAATCACACACACAAATCACACACACCACACACACGCACAAATCACACACACACACAAATCACACACACACAAATCAGAGAATATACGCCCAATATCACTGTGAATGTTTAATGCAAGTCACAACACAAAAGCGGCCGTTGCAAAAGGTGATGGAATACTTGGTTATCCAGTGTGTTATGTCTGCATTGGTATCGAAGGTCGGTGTATCGATCCCAAGGCGAATCATACCAAAAGACGTTAAAGGAAGGTGCTTCCTGCCGCTCGGCATTAAGGTTTTTTCACACACACACACACACACACACACACACACACACACACACACACACACACACACACACACACACACACACACACACACACACACAAAAGCACACACGCACAAAAGCACACACACACAAGTACACACATATACATTCATGTTGCTTTTTAAATGAAATTTCTTTCGCGACGTTGAACTCCATTTCACTTCCCTCACTTATGAAAATTACTCCTTGAGCATGTGTGTAAACTGAGTTTACGAAATGACGGTGAGAGATTTGTTTTATGTTTCCAAACCTTTTAAAACGCGTTTGATTTCAATGACATCTACAGGTTCCAGGCCAAACCTCAAAATATTTAAAATGATTAAAACAATACACAGCATGGTAATCTCGTACCCAAATCAATAAAACATTCTGTTATACAACAATTTAAAAGGTAGTAGTAGTAGTAGTAGTAATAGTAGTAGTAGTAATAGTAGTAGTAGTAGTAGTAGTAGTAGTAGTAGTAGTAGTAGTAGTAGTAGTAGTAGTAGTAGTGACCCGTGAGGAATCCGGGGTAGAACAGGTCTTCAGCAACCCATGCTTGCCGTAAAAGGCAACTATGCTTGTCGTTGGAGGCAACTAACGGGATCGGGAGGTCAGGCTCGCTGACTTTGTTGATGCATGTCAGCGTGCCTCAATTGCGTGGATCGATGCTCATGATATCAATCACTTGATTGTCTGGGATGCGGAGTTAAACAAAAAAGTAGTAGTAGTTGTTGTTGTTGTAGTTTGTGTGTACATCG